ACAGCTTTACAAAATTCCTCTGATCCTGTATAAAAGGATTGCTGCTATCCACAGAGAACTGGGAGAGTCTTGTTTTCTAGGTTTTTGTCCAAGATCCTCCTCTTCAGCTTCAGAGCCAGAATATAACTTTAATTGAACAGAAAACTCTAAGGAACCGATGCGTGGCTCCTGGATACGTTGAGGGACATGGTTTAGTGGGAGCTATTGGGAATAGGTGAACGGTTGGACTGGGTGATCTTTTAGGTCTTTTCCAACCTTGGTGATTCTATGATTCTATACAGAAATATTGTGAACCTGAAATGTGTACTGCCAAATCTTACCTGGTTTTATCCCACCTATCAGATCCTTCTAAAGATGAACGTTGCCAAGATTAAACCAACAGAGTTTTTGTATTGAGTTTACTAAATGGTAAACATATCTGGTTCAAATACTAATAGTAGAATCAAAAGTAGCTGATTCATCCATTCTAATGAGTTATAAGAAAAAATTATAAAAGGGGAAAAAAAAGGAAAATGAATACTGTGCTAGTAAAACAAGTCTAGTATCAGTGTCTGAAAGGGATGAGTACTTTGTGTGAGATGGGAGGCTTGTAATGAGGAGTGAACCAAAGGTTTGATAGCTCTGTCAACTGTAAAATGTTTCCAGTCCCTATTAAAAAAAAAAATACAAGGAAACAAAGTTAACTAAATTAGCTATTCTCTCAAAAACATTTTTTCGGGTTTTAGACCTATCTTTGGCAGACCAGCCTTTCGCATTCCTGCTGGCTAAAAAGCAGAAGTCTTTATTTCCTCATTAGTACGTGTTGACTCATTCTCTTATTCATGGAATATTTATGCTATATTTCCAAACAACAAAGTTTACAAGCAAAGACATGCTGCATGTAAATAAATAAATAAATAAAACCCACTGTATCTCAATCAAACAAAAGCTCAGTACTAGTAAAGAATGATAACTGAAATATTTTTCTCACTGCAGCCAAACATCCAAGGCATATTGACAAACAGAACACACAACCTACTTACTTGAATATATACACATATGCTCCAGAACACCAAAATTAGAAATTCCCTAAGAAGCAATGAGAATTCAAGTACCAGAAACAGAGACTTCAGGATACTACGTTAGTAGAAAAATGAGATACACCACCTTGCTTATTTCCAGGGTTGCTGGTTTTTTTTTTAATTTGTTTGTTTGTTTGAGTAGTATCTAACTATAAACTAAAGCTGAGCCTGAAATGGAAGCAATGATCAAAATTCATTGCTGGAAAGTGGAAGAAAAGAGATTTCCAGAAAATGTCTGGAAAAAGTCATCAGGCAACCCACTTGTAAGTACTGCAAAGATACTGAGATACAAACAAACATCACATGATGTTACGCAAATGACAAATTCATTGTGTAGCAGCGTACGAGGCCCTCTGGACAGGAGAGACAGAAGACTGATGTATTTGACTTCAGTAGGCCTTTCCATGCCTACTCAATCTCAAAAGAAAGAACAATCTGTTATTTTAAATCTTTTTCACTTTATCTCTTTCAGAGACGCAGTGTAGTACTGGAAGCTTGGAGTCTCCAAAAATACCAATTCAAGCTCGTTCTGTTTTATTACGCTGAGAAAGTAATAACAGTAAGGTCAGTTGCCTTTCCTGCAACAGTATGTAAATGGTTAAGTGGCACAGGATTGTTTCAATTATAAAGAATACTTAAAGTTAATATTTCAAATTTACAACACAAAAATACAAGTATTTCCATCTTCCCCTCTGCTCTTTATGCTAATCCTAATTTCTGCACTCATGCATAGCTATCACTTTGTGCAAGGAGTCCCAGTCTTTACCATGCCCTGCTTGCTCCCTTCATGCACCACCTTCTCTTGATATACCATATTATTATCAAAATCTCCTTGCCATCATTGATGTCCCTCCCTCCTCCTAATACCACTCTTATATCTGAAAGTCACCCTATATATTAGAAATACTTACTTACTGTTGTCCATTTCTCCAAATGCTCATAACCTCATTCACAAAGTCTGCCCTGCATATGTCCTCCAGTGTCCTTCTGACTGATCTGCTTTCTATCCATTCTCAAAACTGCAGCATGAGTACAGCTCCATTTAATCTTCCACACAAAGCTGTCCTTGCTAGAGAACAGTCAATAAGAAAATCAGCTTCAGGCAAGTTCCTAGTTCTTGTGTCTATAGGGAAATTCTGAAAATGTATCCAGAGTACATACTCCAACCAAAACAGGACAAACAAAAGGGGACTCCTACTTCTAAAAAAATATGTGCCTTATGCTGGGTTGACCTTGGCAGGGCATGAGATGACTACCAAACTGCTCTCACATCCTACATCCTCCCCCCATCCTTCTTAGAAAGAGACAGGGGGAGAAAATATGACCAAAAACAGTTATACTCAAGTCTAGCTACAAAAGACAATTGGTAGTAGCAGCTGCCTTCACTAGTCCCAGCTTTACTCTAAGAAAGGATTTATGAGTTGTGGTGTCTACCTTTATTATGGACAATCTCTAGCATCAGTGTAAGAATATTTTAAGCTTAGAGCAGGTAAAACATACTAAAGAAATTGCATTTTTACCACTTCTCAAGTGTGAAAAAGAAAATGAAATTGTAAAAAAAAAAAAAAACATAAGCTTGGCTAAAAAATCATAAGATTATTGAAGTAAGAGTCTCATTTTAATAAAAGATACATCTAGTAACACAATTTAATTATCTGGTGCTCCCAGTTTTTCCACTAATCAAAACTGTAATGATTTACTTCTGTAGCTATTCACTTTGTCCTAGCCTAATATTTCTCTTCCTGTCCACCTTTATTCCCAATTTATTGTATCTACCCCTTCTGGCCAAATCGCTCTCCCTTCTCAATTTTTCAGAAAAATACTAACAAGTACCTGAATGAGTGCAGTCTGATAAATTCACGAATGTGCCTATACCATAAGATTTGCACGAGCTAGTAGAAAATCAGAGTTCACAACCCTCTACTTGTACAAAACCTACACTACTCACTCTCCTTTTTGTCATGCACAGAGCAGGCAGAAGAAGCCACAGCTCGCACTCTTTCCTTCTTCAGCAGAACTGACTGCCTTCTCACCCTTGACAAGTTGGTTCTGGAAGCAGACATCCAAATAAAGAGCATTATCTTTCAGCCCCAGCAGGACTGGAAACCTCTGAGGGCTGGAACTTTATGGACATGTATAAAAAGTCAAGGCTGCCAGCAGTAAAGTCCCAGGTTTTTCTGTCAATTGTAAATTGTGTGTGTATGTGCAATACGTACCTCCAAAGGTGGATGAGAAAGGGCCAAAGCAGCTCAACTAATATATTTTGAAGTTGTACGAGTAGGTATGAAGGTCAGTGCTGGAAAGGATAGGGATGCCTGTGTTCTGCACATGTAAGATACGCAATCAGAAGATCGAAAAAAAAGGACAGATAGCACCTTAGACATGATGAGTGTTTGTTCTTGCATTCCTCTCTCACACAGATACCCCTCTTCAGTTTCCCTGGCTCCTCTGTGCAATATGATCTGTGCACCATGAGCAGATGGCAGCAAGGTCTTTTTGACCTGGGACAGAAACAGTGAATACCAAAGTTTCCAATGCATCTCTGAATCCCAAGTGACTTAGTAGTAATTTTAATTTAAAAATTCAACAATAAGTAAAAACATGCAGCAGTTCTGTATAGTATGCCCTCCTTACAACCAAACCTCACCTCAGTGGCCAACTAATCAAAGACATAGTTGATTTCCCCTACTATTCCCCTTTCTTAATTGCTTCAGTGCCTGGTCTGAGGGTCTTCCAAGATTTCAGTCTATTCAAAATGCAGTACTGAAAGTCATCTTTCTTAACCTGCAACGGGGATTTCTTTCATCCCATCCTTCAAAATAGCTTGTTCTTTTATTTAAATGATAGCATTCATTAACCTTAATAACCCTTAAAGTCAAACTTACCTTAGACATTTTATCTTTCTCCTTCCATCTGTGCTTTCCTACTTATCACTACAGTCTTGCTTCTTATTACATTTCTCTGCAGCCTGCTAATGAAAAGTCTTTTCCTTTCATTCCGTAATTCTTCTTACACACTGTCCCTGCAGGCTGCTGTGACTTAACTCAAGCTCTCCTGAGATAATCCTTAATTAATATTCTGTCAGTAATCATGGCAACTAAAGTCACCAATGGACATACACTAGTGCAGACCTTACTTTGGTCATTCGGGACACACCAGTGCCCTGGACCGTGCACTGACCCACACCAGCTCGGACATCCCTCTGCTTGACGATGCTATGCTCTCAGCAAGGGAGGCATGGGGCAGGAGCCACGTGTCCAGCATGCCCTCAGCAGCCCTGTATGTACGCCAGGGGCTGCCAGCAGGCTGGCACGGAGACAGGTGGCCGCCTAGCACCACACAGCCGGCAGCCTGGCAGCCAAAAGCCCCTGTACCCGGCCTGTCACAGCTCTCGTGTACCTCAACAGCCGTCGCCAGGTAACCCAGCACATGGAGACCTCCGCTATCCCCAGGGGGACTTCGTCCCAGTCTGCCCCATCAGACAGCTGCCCAGATCCGCTGTTATTAAATGCACGTATACATATACAAATACATACATATATACATACATACATACATATACATGTATACACATATATGTTCAGCACGGAGGAGGAGCAGTCCCGCCCCTCACGCGTCGCGCTCAGATGACGTCACTGCACTCCGACACTGCATTGCTCCACACTGCACTGCTCCCCGAACCCGCGCCGCCAGCAGGCGGCGCCCCCGCCCGCCATGAGGCGGCGAGTCACGTGTTCCTCCGTCCCCCCGCCCCTCCCCCCTTCAAGCGGCGCTGGAGGACCTTTCCCATAATGCTCTCTCGGCCGTGCCGCCACGCTGTTCATTCCTCACTTCCTCTCGAAGCGGAAGACGGCAGAACAGCGCCCCCGCGCGGCCCCCGCCGGCGCTGCCCTTCGGCCGCGCGGACATGTGGCCCGGCGGCCGCTGAGCCAGCCCCGGCCCTGCCCTGCCGGCCCTCCGCGGGGCGGGGGAAGCGGAGCCTCCGCTCCATGGTGGTGACCGCCCTGGAGGACGCCGCGGCGCCAGGTAAACAACGGCAGGCTCATCCCGGTGCTCCACCGCCGCTCGGAGCCCGCCCGCTCCCTCCGCGGCCCGGGGGGCGGGACCCGAGCACGGCTCCGGCGGAACCTTCCCGGGGTCTTCGGGACGGGACGCGCGACCTCGGGAGGACAAAGGGGCGCCCCGGGGCCGCCTGTTCGGAGCGGCCGGAGGGGAATGCTGGCGGGGCGGGAGGAGGAGCGGCCCCCGGCGGGTTCACGTGGAGCGTAGCGGCTAACAAAGCTCCTCCGTCCGGCGGGAAGCGTGCCGCCAGCGGGCCCGGAGCGCGCGTTGGCGGAAGTTGCGTGGAGTGACCGACATCGGCGCGGCTCCTCCGGTTGTGTGCGGAGCGGCGGGACCCTTTTGGGGAGCGCGGTGTGCGGCTCGCGGCTCTTCGTGAGCGCTGAGCGGCATCGGCGGGCTGCACGGAGCTCCGCGCTGACAGCCCGTCTCCGCCTCGGTAACTTTGAAACGGGACAATTCGGGTAAGGCCGATCCCGCTCCCTTCCCTCCCATGATGCTTTTGTGTCACGCGGCGAGTCGACCGCGAGTTGTTAATGAGAACGCGATAAGGCGGGAGGGCGGAGCGGTTCGTTAAGAGCAGTGCCTGGGCTCTGCCGCCGGGAAGAACAGCCTCCTGAAAGCGTGCAGAAACCGATATGGTCGCTCAAGCCGTAGTCATTGAACGGATCGGAACGGCTCTGCTGATTGAATAGCCCTTCTTAAGGATTTGGGGCTCGGGTGACCTTAAAGGGAAGTCCTGTTAGCTTCGTGGCTCGTGTTGCACTTCTGAATCGTTAATGTAGTGAGTGCTTAACTCTCCTTTGGATCGTAGGGAGCGGTAGTTTAGCTTAGTGAAGCGGTGGGCATCCAAAGCTTCTTGTCACGGGAAAGCAATGGGGAAAGTCTCTAGTCAGTTCACCATAGTTTCTTTCCTTCTTAACGTAAGCAGTGATTTCCTTGAATGAAATGGCAAAGTGACTTAAAAATGCTGCGATTTAATTGATTAAATCAAAACTTAAGCATTTATTTTTGTTGTTCAACCAGGAAGCTGTATTTAGAAATGCACGAAAATGCTCCTGCCCTGTGGAGAGGAGTTGGAAGTGATTCCAGTGACTTCTTTTAGAGATTTTAGGAATATTAAGGTTTTTGTTTGTTTTCCTCAGAGGAGATGAAATGTGGGAGGGGGAAGGGCTTTTTAGGCTTTTACATGAAGTCGCAATGTTGGACTTCTGCACATTTCTTCAATAGCTCACAGTTGCTAATGTGATAAGTTCTAGAGTGGTAAATGGACCAAATAAGAAATATGCAGGATTTTTTCCATGGTTCACTTGCTTTAAAGTTACTTGTGAGTAGGCAGAATGGACAGTAAATTTGTCTTTACAAAACCAGAAAATCACTTTGGTGAGAGAGAGATCAAGAAAGAGTGTTTTTCAGACCTTCTCTGTAAGCAGTAAAGCTGAAATCACTGCTTTATCTCAGGCTCAGATCATATTCAAGATTGGGAATGCTTCTCTAGGAATTTAGTGAGGTTTTTGAGCTTTAGTGTACAGTGCTCAAAGCACAGTATGTGATGGTTGTTGAGTTAGCCTCAATATGAAGATGTAAGTTTATGTTCTGTGGTTATGTAGCTGTCCCTTCTGAAACATCCAGGAGATAAAGATTCTTTTGCTCTCACCTGACTGAAGTTTGAATAGCATCATATGTGTGAGTTCTGGCCTTTGCCTTGTAGATGGTTCTGCTCATGATATGGAGTGCTTTGGTTACAAACGTGTTTTTACCTGTTACAGGAATTCTTTGCGGAATGCTCTCAATCTTCCATCATGTTGAGCATAGTAAAATGTGTAAAACCTATTTAAAGTCTGCTATATAATGTCCTTCCACTTCAGTTTTGCTGTAAATAGGTTGCACTCTAGTTCCTACTGACATCTGAACTGATTCTTTAGTGCAGCATTTTGTATGAATAAATTCTGAAATGGTTTATCTGCCAAACTGCTGAAGAGGAAAATAGCTTTTATACATATCAGAACTGTTCTTATTGTCTTTATTTGCCTATCTTGCAAACGTGAAGATAATATGCCTTAAAGTTTCTCCTGTAGCTGTAAATCTCAGAGGTTTCTAATGTGCATGTTACATAAAGAATACTTCAGAACAAGGGCTGGTTCATGGCTTTTCAGCAGCGTGGGTACACTTTATTTCATCTGTATGTACCTGCCTTACCTGGAAGAGTAGTGAGCTCGCGCTGAGAGGATATGAGCATGGTGATTATTTTTAAGCCAGTGGTGAGGCTACAGAAACAGCTTACAAGCTGTGAACATGTCTTTCTGGCTCTGAGGTTGGACCAAACGCGCGTGGTTCCTTTGGTTAGGAACTTGGCTGTGGTCTTGAAATAAATTGTAGGGTGGCAGCTGCTGGAAGGTGAACGCTTGTTTGCCTTTCTGTTCCTTGAAGGTGCTGCTCTGCTATTCTGCAGCTATCCATCCCATCTCTACACATAGGCTAGGCAGTGTGCCAGAGGCCTAGTGACTGTTGGGGGGACTCTCAAAGGTTGAATATGCACAATCTGTGTTTCAGTAGCCCGTACCAGGTCCAACCAACAGTTCTTCCCTGTGAGGAGGTTTTTATTTTGGAGTTTTATTTCTTTGTTTGTTTGTTTTTAAAACCCATTGCTTCTAGAAACGTACTGCTTTCCTACAGCTTATATTTATGACACTTCTGATTGTTTCTCCAACTGAAATTCTTAAGAGAAGCTAATTAAACTTAACCAAATGTGGAAGTTGTCATTTTTAGGCTGGCAGAATTGTTCACTGATATGACAAAGGATGATCAAAATACTGTGTTTGATTATCTATGAAGCAGGCAAAATTAGAATATATTTTATATTTGATGCAGCTATGAACAACTATGCACGCAGCCATAGGTATGTGAGTATCTGCATGTTACATTTGTGTATGTAGTGCTGAAGTGAATATTTTCATCCATTTTCTTTTTATGCAGCAATGCTTTCTCACAAATTGTCTTGATGAAACACTGGTGTTACCCTTCTTCCCCAGGAGCACGCACAGTTTGAGTTTTAACTTTTTGGGTATTGTTTGGTTGGTCTTCTGTAAAGCAAATTTTCATCTGCTTCTGGTGTATTTGTGGTTAAAGAGGTTTGAGGATAACTTGGTTAATGGTCTGTGCATTAGGTCACAGTTTGGTATATGGAACAACCAGTGTGCAGTGTCTACCATCACAGCAAACATGTGCAGGTAATGTTTTAATTTTGTTCTGTGGCCGGTGGCATTCTTACATTTCTGAGATTATTTCATATTTCTTCACTCCCGTGGTATCAAGTAGAATACTGAAGAAGTCTTCTAGAAGCAGTTTCCAGAAGCCAAGTGCTGTGGCAAACTGCAGTATCTGATCACTTCTGTGAGGCACTAGCAGTAGTGGCTGTCTTGGTGCACTCGATGTAAGGATTGGTGAGCTCCCACTAAAATGCACTTGCTCTGACTTTAAGTACCACTTAACTGTGGATTTTCCTTCAGAAGTGCTATTGTGAGTTAGTCAACTTGGCTGATGCTCCTAGTGTTCGGAATTATTGCTGGCATCAAGTGAGTTAACACCTGTGTTCCTGCTTGGCTTTTGTTTGACTGGCAGCTCTAACAACAAAGATGTATCCAGATGCTGGTGGATTTCAAGTTCTCACATAAGTCCATCCATACCTTTATCAGCAACACAGTGCTGCAGCAGTGAACTCTTCTTTCTACCTTTGGCGTTCCACAGGAGAGGTGGAAAGCTTGAAATGGAATGGAGCCATAATGATACTCGGTGCTTGTGTTCTCACAACAGATGAGCAGTGTTAATTGGACTGCTTGAACGAATTACTTGGGTGATTGTGAAGATCCAGGAAGGGGAGAGGAGGAAATACTCTGCTTTCTATACAGCCGCTGAATAAGCGCTTCTGTGCAGTTTAGCTTTTCTTGAATGTTCTTAGTTTGCTACTTGTGACACAAAAGGTGGTGGCCCCTGTGGACAGGTAGGTGTAACAGAAAGTAATTGCAAGCCCCGTGAAACAATTGAAAAGCTGTCTGTTAGGTCTGAACTCCCTAGGACAAGATGTTGCCAAATTAAGATATCTTAGCAAAGAAGGTAAAGTATATCCTTCACTCTAGATCAATATAACTGTGATTCTTCAATGTACATTTTTAAGCTCAGGTCTGGCTTTTCCCACTTTCATGGCAAATAGTTCCTGTTACACTTTGTCTGTCGCTATCAGCATCAAGGAAACCTTCTCACACTCCTTGTATTCTCAGCTGCGTTTTTTAGCTTGTTTTAGCTATCTTGAAAGTGATCACTGAGTCAGAACCATGAAAGCAAGTGAACAGTAATTGGAACTGCTTACTCCCCATCTGTCTTACTACTTCTCAAGTGGCATCTAATGCCTTGTTCTACAAATACCATAGGAGATTTTCTGCAAAATACGGTGGTGCTCAAAACCGTTTCAATTGTCATGATAAAAACCTTTGTAAGCTCTTTATTTTTACACCGCTTCCCAAAAGCAAAGCATTTCTGGTGCAAGATTTATAAGAGGTCTTTGACCTATGCTTATAAAATACTGCTATTCAAAGTGAAAAGGATCTTGAGGGCTGTGTTTTTGACATCTTAGCTTTCACATAATATTTTTCTAAGAGCATGCTTTGTGAGGCAAAACGTGTGTTTGAATGGCCATGTTACTTTCTTTGTCTTTTTGATTTGCTTTTAAATCAGTGTCTGAACACTTGCAAGCTGAAATTACTTCTTATAGAAACTCAGCTTTTCATAGCTACTAAAAGAGCATATGGTATCATAAATGCTTTATCTGATCTTTAAAATAAAAGAGCAGCAGACTTTTAATGGGGGACTCAGTTCTGTATAGTTCTAACAAGAGAATGGGTATGGTTCTGTGCAGTCTTTTGCATGTTTCCATTGAAGTAAATCCATAAAATGCTACGTGAGCCAGTGGGTTTCGTAATTCTAGTATGTTGTATTAACTTTATGTGTGAATGTCTGTATGAATTTTGCAGTCCTTTTTCCTTCTACGGCTGAAAGGCCTTAGCTTTTCCAGTTTTCACTGTCTTTGCAAGGTCTTTTTAGTTCATCTCCTGCATGCCTGCAGTTTAAGTCCAGCTCCTTGGGCGTGTTCAGGATGTTATTAAGAAACATAAAGATGTCTTCCTGGTTTCTTTAGCATCAGAGAAGTGATTGCAGCAAGTCCTGCTGTGTTGCCATAGCACTGGCTGAAGTATGCTCATTCATCTTGTGGGAATGTTGCGTGTGCAGTGTAGCAATGGGACACGAACTTCAAGTTAGTAGTGTATGCTGAACACGGATCTAGTTTGTGGGGGAAAAGTAAATAGAATGACTAACGAAGTTTGAGTAAATGTAGTTTGTTTTTTTTTTTCCAGGTTTTTGACATGGCTGGGTTTGGAAGAGTTGCTTGTGTGGCAAGAATATACTTGGCCTCAGTGACCTACTGCCACGTATCTGCTCTCTGGTGGAAAGCATGAAAATATTGATGTTTCCAAGCGGGTAGAAAAAAAGCACTTTTTAACTGCTCTTGGAAACGACTGAGCCATTTCTGCTGGCTGTGGTATGTAATACTAACCCTGCTGGGTGCAGAAGTGTATGTGTGGCTAAGGACCTCCAGCAGCAAGAGACAGACTTAAGTGTTTGCGCTGATTTGGTGTAGTTGCTTGAGCTATGTGCACCATAACAGTAGTGTCTAACTGCAATTAGTTCCTGTTATTTGTAAATCTCAATTTCACACAATTTAGTCATAGGTTACGTAGCAGAAACTCCTTATTGCTGACTTGTACACTTCGAGAGAGTGTTACGTGGCCTGTTTTCTACTGCTTGTTTATTTCTATTATGTCTGTCACTGTGCTTGAGTGTTCTGTCAGCAGCATATGGAACAAGTACAATGCTTATTGCCTAGTATTGAAAATAATAGTTTTGGAAAGCAAAATGGAACAGTCATAACTTCTGTGGATATAGTTTTCATCATCTTGTATTAGTCTTCAGAACCTTCTGTTCATCCTTGTTACTGTAAATGAGCCCACTTCTGCATGTGGGCAATTAGCTGTGGCTCCATGACACGCATTAAACCCAGGGAGCATTTGTTCTGTCTTAGAGCTGATGTGGGCCAAGCTGTAAATTTCTGTGAAGATTAGGGATTTGTCTTTGATTCAGAACACTTCTGGAAAGCAGTGTTATGAATGGCAGTTTTATTGCAGCAGCATTATTCCAATGCCTAGGGAAGATGTGTGACTTTTGTCCTCAATACTTCTGCATCCTCAGGAGCTGCCAGAGACTTGACTATAGCATGGTTTGTTGCCTGTCAGAGCAGAAAGGGGTTTTTCTTACAAACCTGAGAAGTTTGGCTGAAGAACCAGAAGGGATATAATGTAGCTGTGAATTACAAGTTAGGTATTAGCTGTGAATATATACATTGAATGAAATGAGACTGTGCTGTTACAACTTCCAAAGTTATTTTTTTTTCCTTGCTGGCTAACAGGCCTAGCTTCATTTAGTTCTTAGACTGTGAACTAGGTTTACCTAAGCACTGGCCATCTTGGTAGTCAGTGGTCAGCCTGAATGTACCAGTGGTGCAGACTTGGCACTTTTTTGACTTCATGAGCTTCCTCATAAAGTGAGGCTCAGCTGTGTGATAGCACAGTCTGTACTCGTGTATAGGTTAACTTTCTTCAGTGTGTTTTTGATGAATATTTGAAAGAGAATGGGTTTTAGGGATTTTGGTCGAACATGATACCTTTCCTACCTTGCAGAAATGCCAGTGTTTGTGTGGATTGTCCCAGTAGCTATGTTAATGCTTGTGATTCTGTTGAGCAGCACCTCTTGAGCTCAGCAGGCTTGGTGCCATGATCAGTGCCCTGGGGGGCCCATTGCAGTTCCTGACTGAGTTGGCCATATTGGTGTATCCTTCTAGGGAGAAAGTTGGACAAGTCTTAGCTATTCCAGCACCTTGCTGCCATCAGAAGAGAAGGTCCTGTTTTATCTTTTCACTCACCCATTCTGTTCTTTGCTGTTTCTTTGGCACGTTTGGCTCTTAGTTAACTGAGCCTGCTCACTATCACTGTTGGTGAGAAACAGAGCTGCTTCTTTTGGTGGCTGCCAGCTTTTAGATTAGTTGTCTTGGATAATTGTATCCTTAGAGGATTTGGATGGACTTTTTAAATCAGCAGTGTCTCCTTGCCTGAATAGCTCTGATTCTTTAGACTCTGAGTCTACATAAATAGGCTTAAACCACCTATAGAGAAGAGCTGTTTCTTCGTTAGAGTTGGTTTCTTGCTTTCTCTTTGTGTTTGTTGGTTCTATGACATTCCTCTGAAGAGGAATGAAGGCAAGGTGCAAGTCAAACAGACCATAAGTAAAGATCCTCTTTATAAGGTCTCCTTTGAGAGTGCCTGTTGGTTCTGTTTTTAAGAAGTTCTGCAAAAAGAAATAAATCCATGATAAGTGCTTCCAGATTCCCAGTTCAGTCCTCATTTATTGAAGGGCAAACAACATTACTGTGGTGTCACTTGAAACGCATCAACCTTTCAGGTACTATAGACAACTTGCAAGTTTTTCCAAATAAAAGAGAACTGGAGGTTCTTGATGTACACTTGGGAACACCCGATAGTTTCTTCTTACAGGATACGCGTTGTTAAGTGATAGGTGAAAAGCTTTTCAAATGTTCAGCTGCCACTGGAAATGCCATTTCCTCAGTCCATCTCTAGGATGGTCCAGGGCGAAAGTTCTTAAGATGCTCATCAGCAGATGGATGTCAGCCTTCCAGTGGTCCACAGGTCATGGTGGGTCCATATGGAGAGATCTAGAGGATGCTCTGTGTCCTATCATGACTTACTGAACTTTGTTTTTGCGCATGTCTAATTATCAGGATGCTTTTTCCATTAAAAATATGCTTGCTGAGGGAAGAGTCTTAAACCTTCCAAGGTTTCTTAAAGACCATCAAAATGCATAGGGCTGGAAAGAGTCCTGCTTCATACTACCCAAAAAAAGATGGAAGTAGAGGATGTTACTGTCATCTTCTAAACCAAGTGTGTTCCCATACATTGCATGTGTGTCTGATTATTGTTTCAGCTTTGAAACTGTTTTGAGTTATTAAATGAAAATGGAAGTAATAGACATTCTCTTTAACATACAGTGTTTTATGTAAACAGAGCCGTCAAAACAGATCACTCCTCTAAGTTCAAATGCATCATGTGTCTAAATTGAGAGATCATATACAAGTGTTTGCTGAGTTTGGGACACACAGATTAGAGCCCTACTTTCTTGGACTGCCTGCAAAAGCAGGGAATGTGTGATATAATGGCTGTCTGTGATCATCTCATTTCTCAATTGGTTTTTTTTTGTTTTTTTGAGAGGGATCATTAAAACACTTGCTACTGCAAAGATCAAACAATAAAGATTCGATCAGAAGTTTTAGGAGGCAAATTCTGCCTCTCCCACTGTCAGATATCCAGGTAGCAAAGCAACAGCCAGTGTAGCTTTTATGCAGCATAGAGATTTAGCTGACAAATGTGATGGTGGTGCTCTCAGCTCTTCCTGCTTTTTCTGGTAAAGCCATTAGAGAGTAGGGCTTGAGATACCAGTAAGTTTGCCTCAGGTCTGAATGCTTATATAGTAAATCTTGTTCATTGTCATTCAGTCATTTGTGAAGCTTTAATTTGTACTTTTAAATAGTAAATTTAAAAAGCTTTATGAAGTTCAGAACAAAGTTGCTGGTCCTGTAGAGCTGTTGGATTGGAACTTCAGGTGCTTATAGCATGTCCAGTGTGACCACAGGGTTTGAAATGCAAGAGATTCAGACCTCAGTGTAAATGTTTTTCCAAGCGTATTTCATTCTGCATGTTGTAGAGAAGTCATCCAAAGAACAGACACTTGCTACTTAATTGAGCAGTATATCAAGTTTTTTCAACCTCTGTGAAATGGATCTGAAGGATCTTCTGTCCATGCTATTCTTCCATACAACTCCTTTGGATACCTCTTAAAAGGATGGTCCTTGCTATTCCTGGTGCTTCACTGACAAACACAGGTGAAATGGTCTCTTATTTGATATTACAGCTTTCCCTTCCTTCTTTCCTGGATGTTAATAGTTCCAAATGCAAACAAAAGCAAGAAGGAAGCAAATACAAGCTGCTTTCATTTTGCTCCCTTGCAACAACTACTGTGATGCTAGAGGTGGAAAGCAACCAATTCTGCTCGTTCTTCAGCACTTAATTTGGTTGCTTCGACCATTTATGAAGGACAATTTAAGTAGGTTATTTACTGCAATGTTAAACGGAGTGATTTGCGTAGAATCTTAGTAATGTGTTTAACTTTCAAAAGTTAAAGCACTGTTGGCAATCTTAAAATGTGCAAAAAACTTTGCATTTGTTGCACAAAAAACAGTTCTAAAGTTGGAAGAACCAGTTGCTAGACAGCATTAATAATACTCATAAAAGGCAAACAGTGTAAATGATGTGTATCTGACTCTTAATGTTGTGTGTTTCTACTCTACAAAGTGTAATGAAATTGAGAGCGCTTGTTATTTCCATAGTGGGCATTTTTATCTTCAAGTTGCAGCATAAATGAACTGTGTAAACTGTTTCTGTTTTCCAGACTACTTTGTAAGAAGATGAGGAACAAAAAGCAGTGCATTCAAGATACAGAAGGTCAAAAGCATGAAGGCATGGAAGGTAAAGTCTGTGTATAAAAGCATCCGAGTTATATTATTCAAGTTCAAGCTGTGAAAGGTTAGATTTTGAATTTGTTCCTGAATTGGTATGCTGCTTGTTCTGAAAACGTAACCACTGCTTCAGCATAATATTTTTCTTCAGCCTTTGAAGTGCACTTGTCCTTTCCTGTGAATTCTGGATTTCACTTGTTGATTTCTAATAGCAGGGCAAAAATAGGAATGGCAATTGTTATTAAAAAAATAATGAACTTAGAGTGAAAACCATTGAAGAATGGTTCTTGTCACAGTCGGTATTATAAAACTATTTCCAATATAAATAAAAAATGCTTCCATTTTTGTTAAATGTACGTTATTAGGTAAATATCTGAGGATGTTTGGATTAAAGTAGTTCTTAAAGTAGAAAACTGAAGGGAAAGAATGTATATGCAGAGATGAATAGATGATATGCTGGAGTAATGTATTTTGTGGATACAGTGAATTATATGAGGAGCTTTCAGAAGAGCAGTAAGTAAATGACTTTATAGTCAGTGGGAAATACTTTGTGATGCTTTCCTAATTCTAGTAGTCCTAGGGCTAACTTTCCTTTGTTTTAATGGCAAATCATGGCACAGCATTCTAAGAAATGTACAATATTTTCCATCTGGAATATATGCTTGTAAGTTTTCCTCTTGTCAGCATGTTGACTGCAGCAGACTTGAAAATCTGATTAGTTTTCTTCTCTCTGCACGGTTGTATTTTATTACCTTATTACTGAAATCTACAAGGACTTTGTTTCAAAAACAGACAAAAATTCTAAGTGTGAATGTTAATAATACCAGGTGAAGAAACAGAAGAGAGCTGTTCTTGTTCTACTTTATTACATGACGGTGACACGTGCCCCATCTGTCTGAACTGCCTTCTGGAACAGGAGATTGGTTTTCCTGAGAACTGTAGTCATGCTTTCTGCATGACTTGTATTCTTAAATGGGCTGAGGTAAGACTGAAAAGCAAACTGTGTGTTGTTTATCTGTTATTAAGCTGTACTGTGTCCAATAGTTATAGATTTTATTTTTTTTTATTAAGAAAGCTACACTGTCTAACTTCATACAGAAGTGTCTGAATGACCAGCTTGTAAATAGATCAGTGGGAAACTTTCTGCTTAATGTGATGTAGTACTTTGTGGTAGGCTTTTACTAGGTATCATGCCTTATTAATGGTTTAAGGAGTTTAAGGAACAGTAAAAAAGCAATGATGGCTGTCTGAAAAATCAGATAGCATTATGTACATGTCATAATATTGCAGCGTCAGTCAAGCTTAATCTTATTTACTTACGTGCTGATTCGCACACTGTGAGCTCTTAGGGCTGAAGCCAGTTGGTTTTCCTGTTAGTTTACAATACAAGTCTGATAACATCATGACTTTTCTAGAATATTTCTGAAAGGCTTGAGCGATATTCAGAATTTTTAAAAATATATTATTTAGTAACTAGATGACCTGTACCTCTTAGGGCTGGAACCTTTAAGTTGCTTGTTTGAACAAATTCTTGTTCATCCTTCTGTTTAATCAAAGACTATCAGAGGATGGAGCACCTCCCCTCTGAAGATAGGCTGAGGGAGCTGGGCTTGTGCTGGAGGACAGCCTGGAGAAAAGAAGGCTGCGGGGTGACCTCATTGCAGCATTTCAGTATCTAAAGGGAGCCTACAAACAGCAGGGGAATCTCTTTGGAAGGGTAGATAACTGCAGGACAAGGGGAAATGGTTTTAAGTTGAGAGAGGGAAGATTTAGGTTGGATGTCAGGGGGAAGTTCTTTACAGAGAGAGTGTGAGGTGCTGGAACAGGCTGCCCAGAGAGGCTGTGGATGCCCAGTCCCTGGAGGTGTTCAAGGATGGATGGGGCCCTGGGCAGCCTGGTCTAGTATTGAATGGGGAGGTTGGTGGCCCTACATGTGGCAGGGGGGTTGGAGCTTCGTGATCCTTGAGGTCCCTCCCAACCCTGGCGGTTCTGTGATTCTGTCCCCTTGTTCCTCCTTTCTGTTTAATCCTTTTTCATCCTAAGTGTCTTGTAAACAGTGCATTAAGTCTTTGGGTTGCTACTTTGTCTTTCTTTTGTGCTCTTGAATAGGTTGTTACAGAAGACACTTTCTTTGCAATAGGTTTCTTCTGCAGTAAATGGTTATTTTAGTTTATCCTTTAGAAAGGTTGTTGTGTGTGTACCTATATGTGTAATATGTATATGTACTCTTTAACTTGTTTCTAACCTTAATTTTTGTGCTCTTTTATTATCAAAGGTAGACAGTATCACAGATCATTTCTTAAGATTTTATGTGGTCTTCAGACTATCAAAAATTATTGGATGAAATCTGGCTTGTAATCAAGAACAGGTGACAAACTTTAAGTCTCCTATTGCCAGATTTTCTCTTCTGCAAGTGATTAATTGTAATGCTTTTGTTCAGCAGTGAACAGGAAATTCTCATACACAATTTTATCCTGACTTCCTTAGCTGGTAGTTGTTATGGCAATCAGCACTGACGTTACAGAGAAAGCATTACAGTAGGCTGAAGGCTTGCTGCTGCATTCCAGTGTGTTCACAGTGAGCTGAAAAGCATCTGATAGACAATGAGGAAAACTACTTTTTGTTCTGTCTCATTCACTTGCCATCTCTTAAATTTGTTGTCATGTCAAATTTATTTTGGCGTGAAATGCTATAGAAGTAGAATAAAAGTAACTTCTGTTCTTTAAAGTTTACACGTGAACTGGATCTGTTGCTGCAGAAATATGGGGATTGTTTTTAATGCTGTAGAGGGCTTATGCTGCTTCTTTCCACATGTGATATCTAATGGGTAAAACCACCCGGCCTTCCTCTGGTTCTGGACCTTTTCAGTGCGTGAAACTGCATTGCCTAAAGTGATAATTCAGTTTTTAAGTGCTTTGAAAGCTCTCTGATAAACGTGAAGAGGCTTTGCCTCTGGGGAGGTGAGGTTTTATAGCTTGGACTGACAGCAAAAATTACAAGCACGTGTCCACTTGAAGTGTGCTGGTGCTGTGTGTTAATAAATAGTACATAAATAGTTCTCTTCTTTTTGAGAAACTTGTTACATAAGGCTTGCTTTCTCTGCTAGTTTTTGTTAATGATCAATCAAGAACTAAAGAATTAACAAAACAGTCATTTTTAAGTCCTTTTGAATAATTAAGATTTCAAAACTACCTGCTCATTTAAAAATATATTACCAGGTGCTGTTGAAGGAGTGGAGATTCTTTCTTGAATATAAATAGGTTTCATGAGAATTTTACTTTTTCTGTGAGCACTGGAGAACAGTTAAAAATAAAAAGCCTAAATCTCTCAAAGGTTTTGCTTGATGTTTACATTCTCGTGGTGCTGTTATGTAACTACAACTGTATGCTCAGTGACCTTGCTAGCAATGTGTTCAAGTTGGACATTGTCCTATCCTGTGTTGCATCTGGTTTGAAATGTAACTGTACATAATCAAATTGTACATGATCATTGTTTTTTTCTGATAATTTATGGCTTTTATGTGTGCCTGTGTAGATCCTAACTGAAAATGGGGCAGGTAGGCAGGTGGTAAGGGTATTTGCAATTTTGCTTTTCTAATTGTGGAAGATGTCCAGTATTACAACTCCAGGGACGTGCGCTGTGCCAGCAGGTTTTCTTACTGCAGTCAGCAGCCATACTGCTCTGAAGATCTTACTTTTTAAGATGTTTGGGGTTTTTTTGTTCCTTCTAAGTGAATAACTGCTGATTGATTCCATGGACTAAAATAGGTATTTGCCACAGAACACTGGATACATTAACTCCCAGTGACTAAACCTGAATATTTAGTAGCACTGCAGTTTAGTTAGTTAAACTCTTCTATTCTATTAGAAAGTCATCTTTTGTGCTTCTGACCGGGCTAACTGGTGCTCTCCTCTTAGTTGCTCCTGGACTGGTGAAGTGGCAGGGAGTGTTCTCAGTAAGTGTGCAAAGACAAGCATAAGTGTCATTCATCCTCTGCTTGCTGTCACTCACCTCTATAAGCTAGCACCATAATTTACTAATGTAGACTTTGAAGCTTGAGGCTTTTGTCTTTCAGTATGGCTGTTAGACAGTCTTACAGAGTACAGAGAACTTAAATGCCTCGATCTGAAGCTAAGGCTGTTAGACTCGGTATTCAGTGAGAGTGCTGAAGGAAAGTGTAAGGGTTACCTTCAGTAAAGGGATGCATGCATGATAATATTGTTCTGCCTACATAAAAGCTCCTCTAGAGTCTTCAAATACCATCAGTATTGTTGTGTTACATCAACGGAAGTAATTGTGTGCATGTTCCCTGTCTCGTACAAGTAAAAGCAGGTCAAAATTACAGATGGGTAAGCACGTGTTCTGGTTTCCAGGAGAGGTCTGAATGCATTTAAATAAAGCTTAAAGGAGGTTGACTAGGTATTTATGTCTATCAGGTAGCAAGAGTATCTGCAAAATCACCTCCACTAAGACAACTTCTGTAGCAGCAAGGTTATCCTGCCTGCCTGCATGCATTTGAGGAGAACTCTTAGCTGTTTTGTATTCTAGTCAAAGGTGTTAAAAAAAGATTTAACATTTTCTGTTTTATCAACATTACTGTGCAAGAGATATGTTGACCTTTTATTTTTTTTATTTTTTTTAGTGGCCCTTCCCTAGTAAACATATCTCTCCTAATCTTTGTTCCTGGCTTCTCTCATTTGTTTTTTTTCTTATTTGGAGAGTTTGGAAATGGAGTGCATTTAGCTGTAAGTTCTCCAAAGCTTTGAGGCACATTTAAGAAAGCAGCTAATGTGGCATCATGTTCCACAGTGATCTGCTGTAGTGCAAAGCAGTGTGAGCAGTACTAGGGTTATATGCATGAACTGAATATGCAGTGTGTTCAAAGAAGCCATGAGCCTGAAAAGTTAAATATGAAGAAAGCTGCTTGTTCGAGCTCATGAATACATAGGCTGTGGATCTGAGGAAAAACTTCTTTAAAGTCATTGTGGAAAACCTAGGCTTTTTTTTCCCCAGCTACACATTCTTTTCAAATTACATGTTCTCTGATACATCTTGGCAGATTTATCGAGTGAAATACGCTCATGTGACAGCTTACAAATCTGTTAGGGAGGTACAGCATAAAACTGCATGAATGTTTTTGAGCATGGGTTCAAGTTCTCCCTGTGAGATAGTATCAAAGAAAGTACAGTGACACAGTAGTTCTTCATCATAATTTTACACATCCTTACAGGTCATAAGTGATTTTATCCTTACCTAAAGACAGCCATTATTCCACTAATACTTGTCAGTCTAACATTGGATATAAGAGCAACAAATGATTACTTTGGATAAGAAGTAAAAGCTCCCAGTTGGAATGCCTTTAGTAGAGATAAAACAGCTATTTACATAGTAACTAATTAGTGTGTTGATTAGATATTGAGACTGGAATCTCTGTTCTTATGTGCTCTGTATCTTCATTTACAGCAGTGATATTTTCGGAAAAAAAGAAAAAAGCTTCAAAACTTACAGTACTTTTTCTAAAGCATGGCTACAGAAGCTTTGGAAGCTTTTTTTGTGTGTGGGGGGGGGGGTTGTTGCTTGGAGTTTTTATTATTATTTTAGGTAAACAGAAAAAAATCATCCTGGGTTCTGACTTGTTTCTAGAAAATGCAAGTGTATTTCCTGGTAGCATCTTTTCATCCAAATGTAAAGAGATGTCTCACTGCATGTTATGTTGTGGTGTCTTGTATCACTGAAGATGGAAGCAGAGTTGTTGAGGAATGTTTTCGGAACTGTTTGGGTTAATTTGAACTTGTTTGAGTAGCTTTCTAAAAATTCCCAAGACCTGTAACTGCTGCAGCCTTTGTCTTCATCACGTTGTTCAAATGCTGCTTGAAGTGATGCTGTTAAAAATAAGGGACGCTTTCTTTTTCAGATTAGAGGTTGCTGTTTTGTGGTAGCAGTTTAAAGAACACTGAATACTAAGTTACACCTGTAGAGCTAAAGCAGGATTTTGCTAGAGGATCATCAGAAGCAATTAAAATACTATTGAATGTATTTTCAGGGAACTTAAGAACAAGAGCAGATGTGCAGGTGCTTTCCAGGGAGTTACAGCTCCATGAACACTTACGTGCTGTATGAAGATAATTGTTCAGGTATTGCAGGCTAGGTGAGAGAAGGGGTTGCTGCAGAGTTACCAGTTCAAACATGGAAGCTGCAAGGTAGTTTCATGTAGAGAGTAAAACAGGGATTTTGAACAGCGTGCTGAGTTACCTTCTCTAAGTAGTATTGGGAATAGAACTTGTAAGTATTGGCTGTGTGATTATATTAAATATATGTTCTTTTTTGTTCCAAGTTTTACGTATCTATGTTAAATTATGATATTGTATGGAATTGTAATTCTTCTAAGGTTGTGATACACGCACCCTGTTCTGCACAATAAAAGTGACAGCTACTGTGTGGACTTGTTCTGTATCAATGGCTATTTTTCTCAAGTATTTTTCCCCCCAAAAGGATGGTGTACATTCATCGTTGTTCATAATGTTTCCTGGATAGAAACTTAGCATAGAGGACGGGCTGACTTGCCTTGAATAAAAGGATGTCTTGTCAACTTTGTTTACCAAGCCATCTTTTCAATATAAATAACGATAGAAAGATGAAAGAAATAACAATAGGGATGAGTAGAAGGCAACCATTCTTCCTACTTTCTTATTGTAAAGGTGTAGCCATCTTTTCTTACCCCCCAACTTCTTCCTGTAGCATAAATTTGGCCTCACTACTGGGGAAAAAGGACAATTTTTTTTTGTTGCTTCCAATTCCACTGATGCATTTATAGAAAAGTGTAGTATAGACAAAGAAACCTGGATTTCTTCATGGCTGCAGGCAATTACACCCAGCTGGGGAGCACAGGGCAGTGGTGCACTTGACTGTCCTGTCTTTCTGGAATTTCACTTGAGAATTCTCTTGATGTTTTGCAAACTGTCAGATATTGCTTGAGCTATGAAAAGCAAGTGGGTAGGAGTAGAAAAAACATCTAGTCTTTCTGAACATATCTGAGCCTTACTGTAGCTTTTGATTCTTCCAGATTGTTTTCCTCTCTTTCTGCTTCTTATAGCCATATGTAACTGTTAAGCATTTCTCCAGGAAAAACTGGTCATGTAAAAGTGAACTCTTTCCTAGTGGAGTAAAAATGCTTGTCACTTGAACTGCTGCTAGTAACACTTAGCATTCTACGACATGTCATTGCTGTGAATGAACAGAACTTACCATGATGTAAACTTGTGAGCTTAACTTAATGTTCAACGTGTAAATTCAATGTCAGAACAGATTGTCTTAGGAAAACTGAACTTCCAGTTAACCAAAATCCAGAAATAGGACCAAGAATTACTAGGAAAACTGTGCTTCCTCCTGTCTTTGGCAGTCATAGATACGTGTATGAATGGAAATACCTACTGAGAAGTTTGCAGCAGGTTCATACTGCCAGATATGCCAGCTGAGCACCACGTTACTGCAGGGCAGCTATATGTTCACTGCAGGACAAAAACTTGTAATCTGAGCCCTTAGAGATCTTGCTTAATTGCCCAGTATGCTAATTTTAACACAGCAGGAACAATCAAAAAATCCCACAATAGGGGAAACAGCTTTTAGTTGGAATAAAATTCTGGAGCTTCATAAGGAGGAGGTAAGGACTTATCCTGTTCAAAAACTTGTTCGTGCAAGTATCATGTCTGGTGGGGTTTTTTTAGCTGTTTTTTTCTTAATTCAGTTTAACTTTTCTGTCTACTTCAGATGAAATTGGAAGCTGTTCAAATGCTCAAGGTTTGGGGACTGAGTTACATGAATCATAAGAAAGTTGAGCAGTCTGAAATTGAGAAAGGAAGAGAATCAACTGGAAAATGAAAAGTCCTGATGAAAAGACTAGAAATTCATCACTGAACTTCAGGGCAGAGTTCACATGCAAGTTTCTCGTAATTGCTCGTGCAGTTGTATTACTACATCTTGCATGAATAAAAAGTAGGGTTAAAGTTCTCTTAAGAGTGGAAAAAATACACTTTGTATATTGGTTCTTGTATAGTGAGTTAATTAGAGCTGAAGGCTTTATGTTGAGTTTTGTGTTTGCATTTGTTTGGTTTTTGTGTTGTGTTTTGTTTTGTTTTTTTTTTTTTAAAGAGTTCAGAACTGCTCTGCTAATGGCTCCTAAAGTGAAGGGGGGGGATGACTGACAGAGATGTATATGGAATTAAATGAATAAGTGATTCTGTAGCAGCGAAATCTACTATCTTGTTCCATATGGATTTCTCTGCAAGTGGATTCTGTCACCCAGCTGAGCCAAGTTTCAGTTGAATTTTCTATTGCTATTAATATTTTATTATTCTGAGTGTAACTGTAGGATGAAGTACCCTTCTGTTTCACTCTTTTGCAAAGTGTTTTGTAAAACTTGAGTTGTTTTAAACATGGGAGTCAGTTCTCTTCATAGACTGCAAGAAGGGGAGAAGTAGTGCATTCACATAAATGCGTAAGTGGAGCAAAGGTGTTATCCTGTGTGCTTTTTATCTGCCCAGTTTTCTGATATTACAGGAAAGGGTGTGGAAGGGGATTGACTCTGGTTTTAGCTTGTTGCTTTTCTTCTGCTCTTTTACCTCCATTTGTGTGAATTTTTGGATGGTGGGCTGTTTGGAGTTTCGGTGTTGTTTTGTTGTTGTTTTTTTTTTCTTTAGTTACATTGCTGCCAGTGCTACTAAATAATAGAGTGTCCATTTGCACTGTTGCTCATTGAACTTGAGGGAGGAACAGATAAGCACAAGAAGATAATTACATCTTGAACACTTGCTGGCAATGTGCAATAAACCAGCAGTGCATTGTAGTTCTTGACTGTATATGGAAACTTTCTAATGTTTTGTTGCTTCTGGGTCAGTATTGGAAGTGCCACAATGTAGTAGACATCAAAGGTTAAATATGAAAAGTCCTAAATAGGCAGCAGAGAACTGTGAAAACAACGCGCTGGTGGCAGAAAGGTTGGGAAGTTTGAACAGAGATCAAAGCAGTACTGACTGGCAGGGAATGACTTGCTTGATTTCTGTTAAAAAGATAGTGGTGGATTTAAAAGCTGAATAGCTCAGACATCAGGAGATGTGCCAGTGAGCTCCACACTCGTTAGAGGACTGAAATTGAGAAGTGAAACTGCTCTGTATGACATCTGCCTCCACCTATGTCCTGTAGTTATGTACTGTTTTATTCCTAGTGTTTGTTAGTATTCTGTGCTCAGCATTAGGGAATGAGGACATTTGTGTGCTGGTATAAAACCAGCATTACCTACCAGGGATTTAACTTCCTGTTGTTCTGTTAGTTACTATATTAATGAATAAAAAACCGAAGCCTGAGATTTTTCATAGCTTGCTATAGATTTTTAATGGGAAAAATAATTTTTCAGACACAGGCTTCGTGTCCTATTGATCGCAGACCATTTCGAGCAGTATGTCAGCTTGGTGCTTTAGAAGATCAGATAAAGGTATGTTTTGGGCCTGCTTTTTCTTACATAGCTTCAGTTGTATTAATGCGTGAGTTATGCTGCAGCCTTCTATTCTGATGTCTGTGTTAAATAAGACTCCCTAATGAAATAATTACAGCTGTAATGTTTATATTAGGCACTTGAAGCTAGGAATTGCTCTAATAATTTTTTCAAACAAAATGTTTACAGTAATAATAATCATAATGTTGTTATTGGTGCTGCGTACTGTTTTTGAACATTCCTGATGCGTTCAGGAATAGAACCACAGTAATTGGTCTCCAAGTACTTTTTTAAACTAGGTTATGTAAACAAGTGCTGTATTAATAAGCATGTGATCTTGTATATTCTTTTTAGCTAAGAGAAATCTCACATGTTCATGGTCTCTAATTCAGGAACAAAAACTAATGAATGAAGGAGGAATCAGTTAATACTAAGCCTTGCTGAGCCTAAATTTCTGAATCTTTTCATCTTCCAGTTCTTCTGAAAATAGACTATTTTGGAAGGATGCTGACATTTTTATGCACAGTTTGAGGTTCTGTGGTAAAACTGTGAAGCTGCTGGCTTTGCTTTTGGTCATGCTTTGGAAACAGGCTCCTCCTGGCCATTTCTTGTGATTCTAGAGCCCCAGGTACTCAACTGCAGAGCAACAAGGCGACAGCTGCGGCTGCTTCCTTCTCAGCAGAAGCCATATGTAGCACGTTCTGTTGTTTTTATTTCTGAACAACCACAGCAGCAGCTGAAGACAGATAAACTGAAGTTTTCATTTGGAAGAGTTTCAGGGCCTTATCAAAATCTGGTTTGAAGGGGTTTTGTTCACAGATCTGCACTATGAAAAGCAGACAAGGAGGAAGGGCCGTACTCTGAAAAAGAGCAGCAGGGACAGATGGAAGGTGTACTGAGAACTGTTGGTGTAGTGGTCAGTGTTAGCGGGAGCGATGTCAGCGCGTGGGCAGCTTGTCCATCATGATATTCATGAGTAGAACACTAACAGCTTCCAAAATAACACAGTTGAGATTCCAGAAAAAGGAAATATTAGATGTCTAGTGAGAGAAATGGAAATGTAGCCAACGAAGTAACTTTGTCGTTGCAAAAATTTCATTACCAAATTTTCAGTGAGGGGTAGTAGAACGTAGATGAGATCCTTGCTGTGGCAGGCTGAATGTTCAGGGGGGTTCTGATGCTGTGGCATAGTCAACATACGTATCAAGATGTAAGCTTCTTCCTCCATTAAATGAAAAAATCTTCAAGTCTGTGAACTGCAAGATGAAGAAAGCAGTAATTTGAGAGTAGTTCCAACTTCTTCTGTTTGAGCTTATTTTTGTGTAGACCTTAAGACAACTTGAATACATTTAAAGCCTATGTTTACTAAGGTTTCTAGTCTGGTCTGACTTCATTTTCTCAATGCAGATTCAGGTAGAAAAACAACAAAAGATAAAGAAAGAGGAGGAGTACTGTACCTGGAATAAGGAAAAATATAGCCATGCAAAGATAAGAAGATTCCTGAGGTTGGTATTGCACTTAATATAGGGCATTCTAATTTGAATTATCCAAAATCGAAGTTGAAATCTTACAGAAATGTACAGCCTGCAATTAAAATTTTTTAAAAGTTTGTATAAAAATGAACTGTTTTCCACCCATGGTAGTTGAGCTGCTACTACTATTGCTGCTGTAATTTCATCTTGGAGCAATGTATTTCTTACTTGAGATCTGAAATAGTTCTTTTGTCAGATTTCCTTGGGAAAGAAAAAATCATTAATTTTGGATAAGATTTTATGTGTAAAACATGTTTCAACCATCTTATATTTTCTTATCTGAATAGGCAAGCCCTTTTTTCTTGCGTATTATGAACATTAGTGATGTTCTTTTTTTGCCATAAAACAGCTGCAGTCCACAGCTTTTTTCATTCTAGTGAGTTTGAGAGGAAGGTGTGGAAATGGTGTTCCTGTTTTGAAAAAAATGGTTCTCACTTTTGTTGTACTGCATAAGAAAATTGAGATTACACAGATAAATGTCACTAAATACTGATAATCTAAAGTCACTGTTTCATTGAGTTTGTGATGTACACAGAGTCCTTGAGATAAGACTTCACTACAGAAAAGATAACTGAAAGTAAATTACCTTTCTTTTTTTTAACTATTGCTAGAAAAGATTGTTTCACCTCTCTGAATCACTTTTGACTTCTATATTCTTTTAATATTTTTATCAGCCAGTTGTGACACCTTTCACAGGTTTTCCATGAAATCGAGCAAGTTTAGCCATTCAGACTTAACACAGAAAATTATATTTTGTTGTGTAAATGGATTTTTTTCTATCCTTAACCTTTTTAAAGCACTTCAGCATTTAATACGTGGAAAATGATGTACAGGATACAAGGCTAGGTGTTAATAGCAGTCAGGATATTGGTTCATAAACATAAGAATTCTTTGAATCAGAAACTGATTTTGAGTGTATGAACTCGTAGTTTGGGTACGCCCTGAATGTTGCTGCTTTTGTAATATCTTCTGTTAATGTTGCAGAAGAGCTGTGTGTTCAGACAGAGGGTCCTTAGCAGCAAAATTGAGGAAAGTTGTGAAGAAGAAATGCAGTAAGTTGTTATTTGTTCTCTGTTTGCTAAAATTGCTGGGTTTTATTGTGCAACTCTTGAAGTACTTTTCTTGATGTGCTTACTTTTTTGGTATATTATTACTATTGTTTATATTTGCACATATAAACCTAATGCCAGGGAATTGAAGCTTGGAAGTACAAAGCTGCAATATCAGAAAGTGCTGTACTGGCTTTACTGGTAGAACTCCCTTTTCCACTTCAGTCACAGAGGAATTGTATTTAGTTTCAGTATAAGATCATTTCAGATGACTCATTGCTGACACACTGCTAATGATAAGCAAAAACCGAAAAGTTTATTTTTACTGAAAGTGCAGAAACAAGAAGCACTGAGCAGTATTATGAGGCTCAGTTGATAGGTGGTGTTCTGTGTATTCATAACTTCTGAAAGTAAGCAAGTATCACAAGAAATGAGAAGTAGTTGATGTATGAAAGATTATTGTGACGGTTTTACTGAAGTTGTGTAAACACTTTGCAGATCATCCTGGGATACGTTTTAGTAGCATCTGGTTGTGCTAACACTTTTAATGAACAATTAAAAACTAAATGTTAAAGTCTAGATCACAGTTCTGCTTATTTCACACAGGTAGTCTTTTGTCTGACAAACAAAACAAGAAAGCTCTGTCTGTGAAGGTAAGCAAGATTGGTTCTGATAATGAAACATTTGTAAACTTTTTTTTCAGGAAGGCATCTTCCAAACAGCATCTCACCCTGTTTTTAAGTTCATTAATTCCAGAATGATGCAAAACTGTTCAGTTTATATTGCTATGTTGTGAAAGAAGTGATGAGAATACATAGTATGATGTTCTCTCTCTCACAGACATTTTTGAGGTGGTAAATATTTTCATTTAGATTAGGATGTCACATTTAAAATACTGTAACTACCCTATTTTCATCTTTGTTCATCAAAAGAAGGTGGGATCAGCTACAACTGTTAACCTAAGTATCATTATGTGAAGGATATGAGAATTTCCATTATTTTTTATGAAAATTTGAGAAGTAGTAACTAACCAATTTGTTAGGAATAAGCTATGGACATTCTAGTTTGCATTAAGTTGATTTTTAATAGGAGATTTCTATGTAAATGCTGGTTTTCCTAGTCTTCTCATTTTTGTTCATAATTTTTAGCCTGTAATACGTGTTCTATGTGGAATTTTTAAGCACCTACAAAAGTTCTGTTGTTTGATTTCTGCTTTCCCTCCTTTCAGAAATATTTCAGGTTTCAGGTTAGGGGTCTGGGGCACCTCCCCTATGAAGACAGGCTGAGGGAGCTGGCCTTGTTCAGCCTGGAGAAAAGAAGGCTGCAGAGTGACCTTATTGCAGCATTTCAGTACCTAAAGGGAGCCTACAAACAGGAGGGGAATCAACTCTTTGAAAGGGTAGATAACTGCAGGACAAGGGGAAATGGTTTTAAGTTGAGAGAGGGGAGATTTAGGTTGGATGTCAGGGGAAAATTCTTTACAGAGAGAGTGGTGAGGTGCTGGAACAGGCTGCCCAGAGAGGCTGTGGATGCCCCGTCCCTGGAGGTGTTCAAGGCCAGGTTGGATGGGGCCCTGGGCAGCCTGGTCTAGTATTAAACGGGGAGGTTGGTGGCCCTGCATGTGGCAGGGGGGTTGGAGCTTCATGATCCTTGAGGTCCCTTCCAACCCTGGCCATTCTGTGATTCTGTCTCAACTTAGTGATCAGGGCTTTCCTGATCATAGTAAGCTAACCTTTAAATTCGTTTGAATGAGGTAGTTGTGGGTAACTGATTTCATTTTAGAATCATAGAATCCTTAGAATTCAAAGGGATTTTTAAGGCCATCTCTGACTCCCCTGTGGTGAATAGGGACAGCAGAGCTAGGTCAGGTTGCTCAGAGCCCAGTCCCCAGCCTGGCCTTGAAAGTCTCCTGGGACAGGGCATCCACCAGATCTCTGAAGTGTGAGTGTTGGTGTTCATTGTTTTGTCTTACCTGAAGTTTAAAAATTGAGAGGAAGAACTGTTCAGGTCCTTATGTGCTGTCTTGTTGCATGTGTTGTAGGGGCAGGTACTATAGCATGCAGCATTCTGTAGCTGCTGACCCTTATACATATCTCATCCTTGGCCACTGTAATTATAAGGCTGTCTTTAGCCCCAGCCTCCCCTTCCTAAGTCTGGTATTTAAAATTTTTGTTAATGTTGCCAGTTAGAGTTAACATTGCTTTTCATTGATTTGAAGAGGTTTAGGACTGGGAGGGTGGTGCTTGGTAGTAAATCAAGCACTAATTTGGTTTTGAGGTTGGTCAGTACTTCTGTATCTAACTTCTGTGATTTATTGTACCAGTTAGTAGCATTGTCTCAGAGTATAGATTATAAAAAATCTGAATAAAGAGAAGTAAAACTTGGGAGGACATACAGTGCTTAATTTAATTATCCACTGTGCATTCAACATTTGAAAGGAAGCACTCATTTACTAACTGCACTTAATGGAAATATCTGTGGAACAGTTGGAAACCTCTTTTTTTTTTTTTTGATGGAGATGAAAATGCTGATGTTCAAAACCAGAGCATCTTTAAAACATTTTTAAAACAGCTTTTTGGGAGAAACTTACTGTGATGAAATGGATAATGGTACAGTCAGCTGGCTTTCTGTGCCTGAGTTTCATAGAGCATGTAGAAAATGACTACATACTTGAGACATAAATAATGTATGCCTTACAAAGTTTATTTTTCTTCGGAGTAAATATTTTCTGTAAGTTCCCATCTTAAAATATGGATGATAGGGAACGAATAGGAATGTCTCAGTCAAATTCCAGCTGACGTTAGCCCTTGAGGTGATAGGATATGTGGCAAAAGCAGGTCACTGTAGATTAGTGTGTCAGTCTGGGAGCTGTCTGGAGGATTATTGTTCAGGGCTTTTTTTGTAGCCAGCCCAATGCGCAGCAGCAGATTCAAGATGTTTACTGATCACAGTGCAAGAAGCAGTGCACTAGCATACAGTGGTTTGTTAGGTATTGTTAACTCCTGAAATGAAAAGTGGTATCTGTTGAGATATAAAGGTGATTCTGAGGATTTTTTCTGTGTGAGGGTGCAGTAAACAGACACACCATTTAATCTGGAATTTTCTAATTCTATCGAAATGTAAAGAAGAATCCCAGCTGCTCGTATGTTTTCTTTAGATCAAGCATGCAATGAGCAGAAGGGATCTGTCTAAAGGTCTTTGCTGTGGTTCATTAGGTAGCAGAAACGGGTATTGTGAAGCAGTAAATATTGGGCTCATTTATGTATGATTTCTATAAGAAATACTAAGGATTTTACTATGAACAGTCTGTAAAAATGATTTTTATTTGCAGAGTGCGTGCGAAGTTTTTTTTTTCAGTCTCAAAATTCCCATTTGATGTGATGGCAAATGGTACTAATGCTGAGCCTGCTTTTTCTGAGCTGAAGTGTAGCTGACATTTAATTTCAATGCATGGTTGTGTATTAAATGCTAATCATTCCATTTTGCATGTTCCTGTTTTTTTGTAGACGAGAAGACAGACCTGCTGGAATGAGTGCTTCAGCACTAGTTTCCATAGTGCCCTTCCAGCCAATGGTAGCAGTGAAGAATCCTTTCTTAGCTGTAGAAATGACTGGTTAGTGTATACCAATGCTCAAAATAAACTTTGAGTTACTGTATTGTAGATACTGTAGCTCCTTCTGCTTCTATCTGTATGTTACTGCCTTGCAATATTTTGAAGTTTTACTGCTTTTATATTTGTTACAAATCGGCAGTTAAAGAAAGATGAACGTTTGCAAGCATTTCAAAATGAGTACAGTTAAATCAACATCCCAATATCTGCTATGTGTTCAGCATAAAATATTTAAGATTGTGCTCTTGGTTTCATTGATTTAATAGGAATTTAGCTCACATTTCAAGTCCTTGAAAAATTGAAGCCTGGAGTAGAAGAGGGCTAGTCCTGTTATTACTAGAGCAGTTAGTAAAACAGCTAGCAATAAATCTCCTGTTATGTAGCAGAAACAATTGTGGCTTTTCATTGTTTGATGTCTCCAGGAGGAGCACTTGCAATGAACACAAAGTAATTTTGCATAATGAGTAGCTAAGGAGCACAAGAAATGTTTTTTAAAAGGAGAAAAAGAGTAGCTGAGGAGTAGTGTAACATTATTTGGACAATATGACCTCATAAAAAGAATACTGTTAGTATGTTTTCAGCAGTTTGTAAGTGAAAAATCCATAAATGGAAAATATGCAATACATACAAAAGAGGTGCAAAGTTTTCAGCAAAGTTTTCACCTTCTTTCAGCTCTCCAGAACACATATTTTGTATCCTATTTTGCATTTTCTCACCTAAAAGTGTATTTACTACTTCAGTTATCCTTGCAATGACTGCTTTTCCCTTCAAACTGTATATGTATTTATTTGCATCATAGCTGCTGAAAGTTATAATGCAGGTAAATTTGAAGATTAGCAATTGATAAAAGCAGTTATTGAAATAAGGAATTCTAGTAATAAAAAGGTGTTATTAAATGACATATTTGTATTTTAGTACAGAATTCACAGATGTCAATGCATTGATCAGGCAGAAGAGACAAGAGCTGGAATTGTCCTGTTCATCAGTGCTTGCTAGAGTTGAAAGGTATATGTCATGCTGTTTTTATGTAAATGGATTTTCTGCTGTGTCTTGTAGTATCACAGAATCACACAAACACCAAGGTTGGAAAAGACCTTCAAGATCATCCATTCCAACCATCCACCAATCACCAACAGTTCTCACTAAACCATGTCCCTCAACACAACGTCCAAACGTTCCTTGAACACCTCCAGGGTCAGTGACTCCACCACCTCCCTGGGCAGCCCATTCCAGTGCCTGACCACTCTTTCAGAGAAGTGGAGAACTTTTCTTTAATCCTTGTGATGAGCATAGTAACCCATTGATGTGTGCATCTATCACTTTTCATAAAAATGCAAGCTTAAACATATTTTTCACTTAATTTAGAAGGTAGTGTATATGAGCTCTTAAAATTATTTCTATCATTGCAGATCAGGGTGTGTTTTTTCTAATGTCAGTCTGACTCTGACTTCCCTTCATGGATGGTTCCAGCACTTTTTCTGACTGTTAGTAGACAAATTCATAATAGAAAGAGTAACAGGGATTTTTTCAAGTGAAACAGAACATGAGAAATTTTTTGTCAGAAAGCAGATGAATGAGCGTTAAAGCACACCCTGAAGATATCTTCATGAATCTAAAGCAGAATTATAAAAACAACAGATTTAAAGTTAAAAAAAATATATATATCTCCATATATATTTCATGTATTGTGTATATTCTATATATATATATATATATATATATATATATATATATATATAGATCCAACTCTCTTTGATATTAATTCTACAACATACTCTGCCTTTGGCATAAAATGGACAACAGAAATTGGATAAGAGATTTTTTATTATAACTAAAAGCTGCACTTTGGATTTTAATAACAAGTTATGTATTTCTTTTCACACACTTCTCCTTGGGGAAAGTTTAATTCCAACTCAATGGTAGCTTAAAAGTAGTAGATTACAATGAAATTTTTGTACACTATCTTTCGTATTTCTGCAGAAAAAACACTGTTCTTACACTGAAGTGCTACATTAGCTTTCAGGATTTTATTTCCAGTAGTATAGTCTCCTAATTGGAAGTAGTCTCTTTGTTACAGTTGTTTGGCTTTGAGTGTATATTGCTTTAACATAACATACTTTCTTGGAACTGTTTTACCAGATCAGGCCTCATGGTAAGCCTGGAAGAAGGAAAGCTTTGTTTTCTGTCAGCTTTGTGTTTCCCTCTACACTGTGAGGTAGAGGCCTTGTGTTTGCATAATGGTCTTGAGCATTCTTTCCAAAACTTCCTGCAAACAGCTGTAACAACTAACATTAATGATTTTACTTTTACAGAATTCCTTTGGTGTCTTATGGAGCTGAAGCTGAGACCTTTCTTCTCACTTCTACTGCAGTGGCAGGGACAGTTCTTCCAACAAATATCAGGCCTTTGGAAAACTTTGGTAAACTTTTTTTTTGTAAGTTTTCTTTATAGCTAATGGGGAGTATTGTGAAAATGTGATTCTCAAAATTCAAACTTTCAAAATCAGCTGGTGTATTTCTTAAATTGGAGCGTACAACTTGAGCTGTATGGAGAACAAGTGTTCTATGTAACTTAATTCAGTTCCTAAATTCAGAATTTTCTCTCATGTTACAGCTTTTTATCTTATTTGAAGATACACTGCATTATGATACATTCTGAGTTGCTTGATGTATACCAGTGGTGTATTTGCTGACTGACTAGAATAGTCTGCAAACTGCATTATATGGATCTCCTTCAGTGTGTCTGCAAGCTCAACAGGGCAGAAACTTGCAAAGGTGTTGAAGCTCCACAGTGTGACAGGAACTTAGCAGAAGGCAAGATATGGCAGGGATTACCTTTCTGCAGTTGCTTTAGTTGCCTGTCTCCCCATACTCAGCTGGAGTGTAGCTTCTCTTCCTGTTGTCTGCACAAATTTCAGAAGTGGGAACACAAGAGTGCTGTTCTTTTAAGTCTGGAGATAATACCTTTGAATTTGAAATTAGGCCACTTTGATTTGACTAATAGGGAAAAAGATGGAAGAGATTTTGGTTTCTTTTGGCCTACTTGAATCAAGGAAGTGAATTATGAGGAAGAATTAAGTAGGAGGATGATTGAAGAAATGCTTTATAAGTTCATATTCTGCATTGTTGTTAAATGTACTTATTTCACTTCCCCATTTGCCAGTAAAAAAAATAGGTTACTTCCTCTGGCTTTTTTGGCAGTTGAACTGATGCTTAACTGTTTCTGCTTCTAGTAGTAATGAGTGTGTGTGGTAGCTTCTATCTCTTGATTTCCCAGGCTTCTTTGCCATGTCCCAGAAGCGGAGGGAAAAAATAATCAGTTTTTCTATGAGTTGAAGAGTATTCGTGTAACCTCCAAAATACTTTTCAATATTAGACAATTTAGAACAGATTTATTACCATTGATAATTGCTGCAGCTGACTTGCAAGTACTGATGATGTTGTCAACTACTAATGCAGAACTTGAAAGTAAATGCCTTATGCTGTCTTTTGGGAGAAGCAGGAAATGGAATCTTTATGGGGGGGGGAAAAGGAGGTATGTTTTTTTAAATTTACATTTTTAAATACTTTTCTCACTCACCTAGGTTAGAAGTTAGATGTTTTACATTTTGAAAAGTAAAATTACCAAGCTAAAAAGAGAGCAAATGAATTTATTTCTGTAAATATGCTTTTGCCACACCTAAACTGGAGTTCAGATATTTAATGTAATAGCTTGTTTGTGCAGTGGACAAAGTGGAAGACAGTCATCGATGTTGAAACTTAAAGCATTTTAGTATATGGACACTAAAATTCTAAGTAATCTTCAGATTTGACTTGAAGGCTTCCTGCCAGCAAGGGTCATGCAGGAGGCAGAGTCTTGAAATTTCCCCAGTGGATCCACTGGTGGGTGTAAAGTATGAAGAATGCCCCCTGTGGATTTGGGCACATCCTGTGAGTGTTCCTTCCCCATTCTGCTTTCTTATATTGGCTTAAGAGAGGAAGCACAGGAAAAAATGGTAGGGAAAAAAAGCAAGGAGAAATTAACCTTTTACAGATTCTTTTAGAGATGCATGGCATGCAAATATGTGAAGAGGGGAGTGATCTCTTACAAGTAATATGAAATGAAGAGGCAGAAGATGGAGGAAACACGGGTAAAACTGGGACTTTCTGCAAAGATGAGCAATGAAATGAAAAAAAATAGACATGCAGTTTAAAAAGAAATGGTTTTTTTGATGCTTTGTCTCATTCCTCTCCTTTTTAATATATGTTCTTAAGTAGCTTATAAAACATATTTCAGTATTTGTGAGATGTGATACATCAATTGCAAAATCTATTGAAATTGATCTTTCTAAGCAAGTTTCTACTGTTTGTGTATAAGATGAAGCTGTGAATGGAATGAATTTAAGGAGCAAATCCTTTATTTTTGGAGTCTACGCAGAGTATGAAACAAAGTAATGGACCTCTCAAGAAATTAATATAATTCTGAATTGAGTATTACATTTAAGAATATTTACTTAATTGTCATTTATCTTAAAGTCTGGAGCTGTCACTTGCAAGCTTTCAGATGCATTGAGTATGTACAATCTATTCCCTGTGCTGCAAGGCAGCAGAATTTGTCCAGTTTGCCATGGAGCGTTCAGGGACTTTCTTAAAACTTTGGAATGAATTTACACTGTCAGGAATTGGATTTTGTAGAGAAGTGTGTTGTCAGTGGTACTTCTCATCAAGTGCTTCCTGTGTGATCGTCCCTGACAGTTGTCTGAAAATCTTACTCTAGTACTGAGTTTCTCTTCTGTAGTATTGAGCTTCATCTCCATAATGTTGAGGCTTCACTGACAACAAGGCCTGCACACAGGAATGATGGGAATTGCTATATGCTAAGAATGTCAGATAGTTACTTTTACTTTTGTAATGGTTTAAATGCTGACCATATATGAATATCATTCTTGCTTTATCAGCAGTGGTTTAATTGTGAATGCCGTTATTGTCCATATAGCCATGTCAGTGCTGCTTCTGAAGTGCATTTCCTGGTGCCTAATACTTGGTTTTTGTTAGTCTTATTCTGTTCTGCACTGGGGTGGACTTGATTTTAGCTAGGTAAGCTGTGGCAGCATTTCATACTGTACTGTATGTTGTATTATTTGATAACATCCGTTAAGCAGGAGTGTTATGTTATGGTCTGAATTGTATTAGTGTAACTGTTTATTACCAAGCATTAAGATATTCTGCTTTTATTAGAATCTTTAGGGAAAGGTTATGCTGTTGCATGCACCCAAGAAGGAGAAGAGAAAAAGCAAGCATCAGGTTCATCTGGCACTAGGGGAGGTAGAAGGAAGTCTGCTAATGCTACTCCTAGAAGAAGGTCTGCACGGAACACCAGAAACGAGACCCTGAGTCAGTGTCGGAGCTCACCTCGGTCAAGCAGTTCTGGGTGCAGCGCCCCTGATGGCAATAATCCACCTCTGAATAAATCCTTTTTGGAATCAGAGAACGTTCTTCCCAAACGAAAAACAAAAAGAATAGGTAAACAACGAACACCTCTGGCTAAAAAGAAACTGAGAAGTTCTGCACGTTCTGAAAAATCATCCAGTGATTCCGTTGATGATGATGATGATGCTGAGTCTGAAGCGGTTCTTACAGTAGATAGAGACCAGCAGTCAGATAACGAAAGCAGTAGTGCAAGCCTTCCACAGAAAAATGATGCAGAAACAGAGTCTGCTAATGGATTAGAAAGCTGTAATGAACATGCAGAGATTGAGGAAACTACAGGAGAACATGAGGAAGATACTTCAGGCAATGGTGACGTAAGTTTTTCTGTCCAAGAATCTACAGTATTGACTTTAGGAGGAGAAAGTCAGGAATTTGAAATAAAAGATCTTAATGAAAAAACCGTAGAACTTGAGAATCAGGGCGCCTGTAAAAATACTCCTGAACAAATGGAAACAGCAACTAGCCCCAGAGATAAACTGTGTGACCCTGCAACATCTGAAAATTTACATGAGACGTTGTGTACTCCTCAGGAAGAATTAATTGAGAATATAGATACAAAAATACATAAACCAATAACTAGTCCAGAAAATGAATTACTGGAACATCCAGAGACTTTGGAACAAGATCAGCCATTAGAGAGCCCCAGAAGCAAATTGCATGAGCATATAGAAACCATACAAGTCAATGATGCTAAGGCAGATGAAAAGACAGAAGTAGACTGTGCAAGTACAAATACTCAAGACTTTGAAAGTGATAAAGACAAGGAACCAGACAGGTTAATATATAATACTTCTACAGATGCATCAGAGCAAGCCTTAAAAGAAAGCCCCGTGCCAGAGTGTGAAAAGAACAGAACTTCAGAGTCACTGACAATAAATGCTGAACGTAAGCATTTTGGTGAGGATAACAATGAAATGATACCAATGGATTGTGACTCATTTTGCAGCGACCAGAATGAACCTCAGATTGAACAGTTGCCACCAGCTGAAAGTGTAGAGCAGGGAAAAATGGACTCCTTACAGTGTGATGCAGCAAATTCTGCTTCAGTTTCAGGATTGTCTGCTGAAAAAGATGAAGCTATTCACCAAGAAGGAGAGTGTCAGTCAGAACCCAAAAAAGAAAAAAAGACTCGAACGAGACGGTCTCGATTTCATTCACCATCAACAACTTGGTCTCCTTCCAAGAAAGATGGCAGGAAATCTCAGTCACCATCTCCTAAAAGGGAGATGACCAGGGAGAGGAGTTCCCGGTCACCCAAGAAAGAAACTGTTGGGGAGGGAAGGAGATCCTTATCTCAGTCTCCGAAAAGAGAGACACTCAAAGATGAGAGAAAAACACCATCTCGATCTCCCAAGAGGGAAACTGTCAGGGAAAGCAGGAGGTCATCTTCTCGGTCAAGAACAAGGGATTCATCTCCAAGACAAAAGTCTAGATCTCGAAGCAGCGATAGAGATTGTCAGAGAAGGGATCGTGACAGAGAGAGAAGAAATAGAAGATGGTCCAGGTCCCGGTCCAGGTCCCGGTCACGATCTAGGTCGAGATCACAGTCAAGGACGAGAAATAAAGGCTCTTCATTCTCTAGAAATGAGAGGGATGGTCATTCACCTCGTTGGAAAGACAGATGGGCAAATGACAACTGGAGGAGTCCCAGAGGGAATGATCGGTACAGAAGAAGTGATCAAGAGAAACAGAATGAAAGTCTAAAGGAGAAGGACAGTATGGAAAAAACCAGTGATGTTCAGTGTTCTCCAGACAAGCGGAGGAATGATTGTCCAGACTGGGTAATGGAAAGGATAAACTCCATTCCGGAGGTCAAGAACAGAGACAGACCTCATTGGGAAGACAGCAGACATGATAATTCAGGGCAGTCTTGGAACAAAAATTTTGGTTCAGGTTGGTTTCCAAATAGGGGGAGAGGTCATCGTGGCAGAGGTGGGCGTGGAAGAGGTGGTTTCGCGTATGGAGACCAAAGTGAAAATCACTGGCAGAGTAGAAAACCTCTCTCAGGGAACTCAAATGGTTCTGGGAATGAAGCTACAAGGTTCTCAGAGCAGCAGCCATACAAGCGTAAGAATGAACAGGATTCTTTCGATACGCCTGCTGATAGATCTGGGTGGACATCTGCATCCAGCTGGGCTGTGAGAAAGACTTTACCTGCTGATGTGCAGAATTATTACTCAAGAAGAGGACGAAACTCATCAAGCCCACAGTCTGGATGGGGAACTAGACAAGAGGAAGAGACACTTGAACAAGGTACACACAGTTTTGATACAAAGCTTAGTCACAGATGCAGTAGATGAGTAAAATTCTAGTCATGTTGTTCTGTTAGTTGATCAGTTCTTTAAAATTGGGGGTGAATTCATAGTAATTTTGATGTCAGAATCTTGATGGCTTTTTGATTTTCCTCCACGTCAGAGTTTTTGTGTTGCTTACAGACTAGGCATCTAAAGAGTACAACTTTAAATCTTCTTGGCTGAAAGCATCCTGTTCGTGGTCACTTTTAGCATCTGCCTGCTAATAAGTTATCCACAGATCATTAACATTCTGAAGTAAATGGTAGATGTAAATTGTATTCAAAAATCACAGAGTCCAGCTCTGAAGGCAACCTGAAGGAACTTGCCCTTTCCTATTGTCATGTGGCTTTGCCTTTGGTTTTTATCCATTTTTATCTTATATGCCAGCAGTGGTGTTCTTTTCAGAGGCAACTTCATCAAAGGCTTCTTATTTTGAGGGAACTTTGTCAACCTTCAGTTTGCTACAGGAAAATACATCAAACCTTTAATTGCAAGTGTCGTGATTTTGCAGACATTATTTTCCATAGTTTAGTCATACTAATCTTTTTTTTTTTTTTTTGAATCTGAGCTCCAGGTGAGAGTGCTCTCTCAAAGCTGGATGAAACACACTTGATTGGTATCATGACCTGGTCCTGGGCAACATGCTGTAGCTGGCCTTGTATAAGGAGGGTTGGACCAGAGTGAAGCATCAGGGCTTAAATGCTGATCCCTTTGAATGAGCTGAAAGGATTCCTCAGGGAAGGGATTCTGAGGGAATGAGAAATGGGTCTAGATTTAGAATCCCTTGTCCTTAGCTCAGACCTCGCTGCTTGACTTCTTAAAAGGCTCACTGCTTATACCTTACACTGAAACTTTTTATCTGCTGTTGAAGGTAAGGTTGAAAAAGTGAAGTCATTTTTAGGAGTATCACCCCCGAGAGGTTATTTTTACTTCTAGGCTTTACCTGTTGCACCATCACAGGGCTTTCTAATAATCTTCTGAGTATTGGCATCTTTCAGAATTGGTTGACAGTGCATGGACAAAGGAGAGCAAAAAGTAACGTATCCAATAGCATGAAAACTAAACAGGTTCTGTTGTCTTTCTGTTCTTCTGGGGAGGATTTTTGTTTCGTTGTGATGGAATAATGTATTGGCTGAGCTGTGGGAACAATTAGAGTGATGGGAATTCAAAATGCAGACCTGCATAACAAGGTGACCTTTTTTTAGACTCGGAAACTAGCCCTTAGCTCAGTGATGTGTCTGTGATGAGTGCTGTATAGCAATGTGATGCACTATCTGTGAAATACTCAAATAGAGAACTCTTTTTGGAACTCTGTACTTAATGAAGATTTTGGACACCTCGTTCCACGCTTTACTTTAGAAAATACAGATTTTCTACTTCATATACTGTCTTTTTTTTTTTTCTTCTGATAGATCCAAACCTCAAAGACCAAGGCAACCAGCAAAGTGATGGTTCTCAGTTACCAGTAAATATGATGCAGCAACAAATGAATGTAATGCCGCAAGTGAATGCACAGCACCAGCCTATGAATATGTTTCCATATCCCATGGGTGTCCCTCCTCCTATGATGAATATGCAACGAAATCCTTTTAACATCCCCCCTCCAGTGCCCATCCATCTCCATACCGGAGTGCCTCTCATGCAGGTAGCTGCTCCCACTAATTTGTCTCAGGGATTGCCTCCGCCTCCACCTCCACCCCCACCATCTCAACAAGTCAACTACATTGCTTCACAGCAAGATGGAAAACAATTGCAGGTATGCTTTATCAGAAGCCATGGGAAGAGCACTATTGCAGTAACATCCTTAAGGGTTTCTTAAATGTAATGCTACCTACTTGGTAAACTTATACTTGCAGTTTCTTTCTCTCTTGCCTGTCTTCTCTCACTCCACATCAGATTTTAAGTATCCATGAGAATTTGAGTTGTTAGGGGACTGTAGCTTTTAAATAATAACACAGCACCACAATTGTTTTGTTTGTGGTAGTGAGATGTTCTAGGTGGTAATGGAACACTGAAAATGCTTCTATATTGTCCATTGCCTTTTTCTCCTTCAAAGTTATTATTTCTAGCTTTGGTGATGCCTGCATCATGTAGAAAGTAACCTCAACCCCTTTGTTGCAGTGCTAATCCCTTGGTTTGCTGTATGAGCAGAGGGAAGTTATCAAATACTTCATGGCATCGATTTGTTCCACGCTTCCATTCTCCAACTGTCACTGTCTCAGCAGCTCAACCACCCTGAGCGCCACCACATTTTCTGTTCTGTTTAATCTTTTGAGCCTTTTTGTTCATAATTTTCAGGCTTTCTTTGGTAGGTTTTACTTATCCCTTCTTGCAAGATTCTCCTGCTGCTGGTTGCCCTGTTTGAGACCTAACTTTTGTTTTATTACTCAAGTTTCAAAAACTCTGCTGTGCTTGGGCAGATCAGACTGTGACCTTTTTGTGCCTTCCAAGATAGCTTAAAACATCCTTTGTGTACATTAAGTCCTCTTGTAGACAGCTGTTCATATTAAGAACTTTTGTATCAGGGAAAGGAAAATGAGCAGCTTCCAAGACAGTGAATGGCCGTGGAAGGAGGTCTGTGTGGTGTGTGTGTGTGTGTGTGTATATATATGTGTATATATATACATATATATATGGTTCTTAAGGGCTTCACTGAGGTTTGTCCTTCCCTTCTGTTGCAGGCCACCTGCTCTAACCTAAAATGCTTTGCCCTGCATTACAGTTAGAAAAGGATGTTCTAGAACAATGATTTCTAAACCTGTTTTCATTAATACCTGAAAATTTGGCATGTATTGATAAATTCTTAACATAATAATGTTAAAAGAATGCTGCTGTTAACCATTCATGTATTCAGAAAGAAAAGTTCCGTGGGAAATACTGAGTGGGGTTACAGGCCATATGAGATGCTCGAACAGTGAAACAGCAAGGTGCTATTTGAACTAAAATGCCTGTAGATTATTTGTTGGTTTCACTTGTGCTGTCTGTAATTGAATTTCCAACTGTGAAAATATTTTAATACACTTAATCACCGAAACACAAGAAGCCAGAACGCGTTTTGTGAACCACTGTGAAACTTACTGTCTAGTGGAGCAGTAGGCAAAGCTTTGTAAAGATTGTGTATTATCCCAACATGCAGGTATTTCTTAGGAAAGCCATTGGTTTATCTGTTGCTGTTCTCTATCAGCAGTGCTCATGGTGCCCTTTGGTGATGTCTGGAAATGCACAGTCAATGGCTCTTCCTTAAGAATAGATACAGGTGCTTCAAGGAGCAGCATTTCATCCCTAGCCTTGAGTAGACAGTGGGTGGTGACACGTTTGACATTCCTGTAGAAGTTCAAGCTGGTAATGAACATGAAAATAAATACTTTCAAAGCAGCATCATTATCATAGAGTCATAGAATCACAGAATGGTTTGGGGTGGAAGGGTCCTTTAAGATCACCTGGTTCCAACCCCCTGCTACAGGCAGGGACACCTCCCTTGAGATCAGGTTGCTCAAAGCCCCATCCAGCCTGGCCTTGAGAGCTTCCAGAGAGGGGGCATCCACAGCCTCACTGGGCGTGATTTTTTTTTTTAATGTTAATCTCAGGTACAAAATAGGGACCTCCTTTTCACTCCAGTGACAAATAAAGAGGTTCTGTAGCCATAAGGTTCCTTCAAAATGATTAAGGCCATCCATGCCTGTTTGCAGAGTACTTTGTCACTTGGGATCTCTATGAGAGCCAGAATCCAGCTACTGTAGCATTAATGATGCGGATGCCTTACTTTTCAAGTTTTACTTTTTTTTCTTTTGAGTAGATTTGTTATTATTTGCATATTTTCCAGAATAATGAAGTGTGCAAATGACCTGATGAACCAAAGCATGTGGTATTGATGCTTTTTCAGTAGCTGCTGAAACAGGTGGAAGGGTACATTATCCTTCGGCATGAGAATGTTTTAACTACCAATAACCTTTTAAAAACAGGGTGTTCCAAATGCTGCTCATGTAAGTAATAACATGAGCACTCCAGCCTTGCCTGCACCAGCAGCAGTCCTGGGAAACGTGGGAACTGTTCAGGGACCAACTTCTGGCAACACGACGTCATCGAGTCACATCAAGGGCTCTAATGCAGCTGTGCAGTTGGGAGAAAACAAAGCAAGTGTAACAGTGGAAGCCAGTGCAGATAGCTCAAAGAAGGACCAGGCAAGTTCACAGTGTCTGTATTTATAGATCTACATGTGTGCATGTGTAATATGCATAAACATATGCAATATATAAATTTTTTATATACTGAAGCTATGGTAGCACCTCCTGTGTATATCCCTTAATGCACCTCATCCTGTCATCTGTGTGATACTCTGTGACAGCTCTGGGCTGTAACCAACCAGCAGATGTGTCTCCTTGTCATGCAGTCTTATTTAAAGCATCTCTGTTACAAATATTTCTGTAATTGCTGTGGGACAACATTCCATTCTTAATAAACACAGGCAGCTCTCACAAGTGCTGGAATTTGAGTGAGGGGAGCATAGTTTTTTTAGTCCTCTGTAGTAACTTCTGTCTGATAAATGTTGTGATTGATAAATTCATATGTAGGCATTGAAAAAATAATGCTCCTGTTTGTGGGTTTGTTTTTTATTTGTCAGAAATTGCTAATTCAAGAAAAAGCAGCACAAGAAGTCAAACTGGCAATTAAACCTTTCTACCAAAATAAAGACATCACTAAGGAAGAATATAAAGAAATTGTGCGGAAAGCTGTAGATAAAGTAAGTGATATCTGTTATTAAAGCATGAACTGCGTGTGTTCCAATTGAGGTTGGCTTGGGTTGGATTTTCTGACCATGTGGGAGCAGCTCGTAGTTGTTGCGAGGGAGAACAGGGAAATTAAAATGACCTTTCTGCATTCACTTATCCAGCTCGTGGGATCAGAGCTCACTTATTGTTTGGAGGAGTTCAGCAGGAGTTGGGAAATGGTTATTGGTGAAGTTTTGGCGCTTTCCACGGAGGTGTTGAAGCCCTGGGGTGCTGGGAAAACAAATACTGTGCAGTGAGGGCTGATTGCAACTATTTCAAGCTTTTTTTTCCTTTAAAACTGTTGTAGGTTTGTCATAGCAAGAGCGGAGAAGTTAATTCTGCCAAAGTGGCCAATCTGGTGAGGGCCTACGTAGACAAATACAAACACTCACGGAAGAAGAACGCGGAAGAGGCGGTCTCCTGTGAAAGGAAATGATGTCGTTTCAGTTTGTAGTGTTGTTCTCTCTGCAAAGTGCAATTTCATCATGAACCATTAGCTGAGAATTGTACACGGCTGTGCTTTGAATCTGGTTTTGATAAAATTATTTTTCATGTAGTAGATAATGTTTTGTTCTGAAGAAATACAGAGCTGCAGGGCGACTTCTTTATTCCTTTTGAAGAGCAGATGTCTGAAAAAGGAAAAGGTGTAAAGAAGAATCATTAGGAATGTATGATTGTGTGGATACTTAGATGTACAGCATTTTGTCTTCAATGGCAGTGCATTAAATTAGAAATTGGTCTGAATACGTTGATTTTTGGAACAGGGATGTACAGTACCTCTAATTGGTCAGATGAAGGGGGAATTTTTTGTTTTGATTTCTCGGTAATAGCAAAGATGAAATAATGTATTGCCTCGACAGATACTTTGAGCGCTAACTGGACAGGCTGACCACAGGGCTCACAGCGTGTATATAGAAAGCACATGGAGTTGTCTGAACAGAAGAACTGGTTGGGTTTTAAAAAGAAAAATCATGAACAGTAGAACTCAGTGCCCCAACTCAAGGGCACTGCCTATCTGTTGTAACACCAAATAAAAGTTATGCTGCTTGGTTTTGTTTGTGAACTTTTTCCATTTGTTGCAAGGTAGTGGGATGAACTTGATGAATTTTTATGTGCTGAATGCCTTCAATCACCACACACCAACAACCTTAGCTCATGCCTAATGCTGCCCTCGGCTAGCACAGCAACAGGGAGCTTCTGTGCTGGAGCTGCATGTTCAGGCACACCAACTCCTGGTTTCTTCAAGCAAGACCAAGGAAAGTTGCAGTTGGTTCCCAGGCTCCTGCCTGATCGGAGGCTGCCAGGGGTGCCAACCTGAGCTGTGCACTGCTTCCCTTTGTGAGCTAAGGGCTGGAGCATGGAGCACCACTGGAAATGCACCACCTTAAGTGCACTGGCTTTTATACTTCCCCAAGCACTTTCTCTAGAGAGGTCAGTGGAGTTACACAGGCATTCTGAAAGCAGAGAGTCATAAAATGTGCTAAAAGGATGCTTTCACCTAATGAAGAGCAGGTGTAACTTGGAGTGCAGCAGTGAGGGTTGATGAGATGAATACAAGCTCCTGTGGGGGAAGACAGCTTGGAATCCTTCCAGATTTGGTTATGGAAGAGGGCTTTCTCTGAGCTCACTCAGAGAGAAATGCTTTCCTCAGGGAGAGCTGCTGCTACCAGCTCAGCGCTGCCCTTGGGCCAGGCTGTATCCCCTTACTGGGGGGCTGCTTCACCAGCAAACAGACAAAGCATCAGCTGATGGTTCTGGTAGATTGTCTTCATAGCCAGTAGTTCCCCAAATTACCTTTTCTTCACAGAGAGCTCATCCTTACCCTCTAAGTAATTTCTGTGGAAGCCTGAAGATGAACTTAAGGGAGATACAGCTGTAAAAAAAATAAGTGATGTTTATCGCTTAATTATAACTTTCTACAGACTTAATGAAGCCTTTGACTGTCTATATTTATTTTTGTGTGCCTAAGTAAAAATACTATGTAAATTAGAAAGTGATATAATACGTTTTCTACAGTCAAGCCGGGTTTTAGACTTTTCAAAAGACTCAGTTTTACACTGTGGTAGCAATTTGTATGAGCTCTTGAGCTGTTTGAAGCTAAACTGGGTTAGCACTTTTGAGAAATGTAGCAAATTATTGCAATGTCAGCCCTGGTTTATCACACCACGTGTACTTATTGTGTTTTACTTTGGATTTTGGGAATTTTAATGACTTTTTGTATCTTTATACAGTCGAGCCTTACTATGGAGCTCCTTTCAGGAGCCGTGTAAACGTGTCTTTCTTTTCTTATAAAGGAGAGGTGGAAAGTGGGGGGGGAGGAATGATGGAGGACCTGAGCTGTGGACGTGGGCTCGCTGATCCTGTTCTGCAGTTCCTGCTGGGCTGTGAGCTGCCAGTGCTGCCATCTTGGTGGGCTGGTGGCTGTAGTGATGCTCCACTGTATTTCAGCATGAAGAATACGGGATAGATTGGAATGTGATCAGGAACTTCACTTTGTACAATAGAATATTTCAGAACTTGACAGAAAAAAAATATGCAATTCATTGCAATTTTCTATGCTGAATTTTTTTTAAAAGCAAACGTATTGCCTTAATACACAGACTCCTATTTTTCCCAAACAGCAGTATGGTCTCTGTTGATGTGACTGCCCATGAAGGCGTGTACATGAACCTCGTAGTCACGTTTCTGTTCAAATGGTATGAGAGCTGTATTTCTATTTATTGAAAGCCTTGTACTGAACTCCTGCATGCACTGATACTGAAGGTGAGTGCTGGGAGCGCGGAGCCCAGCCCTGCCCTCTGGGGTGTCCGGAACTCATTCGCTCCAGATTGCCATGAGGAAAATGATTACAGAACTGTACTTTCTGTGAACTCAGGCAGACCAGGAGGGTTTTCCCTCCGCTCTTCTCACTGTCTCACTGTGCATGCTGCTTGAATGTCTCATCCTGAAGATGTATCCTAGGAGCACAGTGGCTGTCCGGAGTTACTGTACGGTGTTTGTAGCATGAGGCTGGAGTGCTGTCTACTGAAAAAAATCACTAGTTTTGTGTAGTGCTTAACATTTTCTAATAAATTCTTTTCACTAAGCTGTCAGTACTCCGTGTTTGGTCTTCAGTGGCTCTGGCTCAAAGTTTACTGCAGAAAGCAGCATTACGAAGTACTGCTACTTCTGTGCATATTCATCTTGTTTTATGTTGTCTGGAGTCCTCCTCACATCTGGTTTGTTTTCAGTTGGTCTGCTGCCTTTCTGCTTTGTCTACCTGCACGTGCTGCAAGCTGAAGATGAGTGCATGTGGCAGCATTCATTTGCCACACGTGCTGCGGTGATGACAGTTCTTGGCAGATGAGGATGGGACTGCAACCAGCCAGGCCCTGCCCTACACGTGAGGAGAGCTGGAAGAGCTGCCCAAGTAGAGAGCTTGGCTTGGCTTGGCTGGAGCAGCCGCAGGGGAGCCCTGCAATTTGTCTCCTATCCACAATGGTAGCTTTGCTCCGAACATTTCATTGCTTTCCAGGACTGAGGCATGGCCCCAGTTCCATGCAGACATTGTCGCACGGTTTGTGAAAGAGCCTGCTCACCTTTTGGAAAACTTAGAGCCCCATTGTTGGACAGTGGCTGTTAACGTCTGGGTGCAGCTGTGGTGGAATCAGACTTAGCTTGCTTGTGTTTACTGAAAGTGCACTAATGAACAGGCATGGGGGCTCACAGAAAAAGCACACTGCTGTGCAAGCAAGAATGGAAAAGGACACAACTCAGCAGCTTCACTGGGAACTGGGAGTTGTAGAGGCCCAGGCTGCTAAGGCTGAGAACGCTTCAGAAAGAAGGAAGGGCCAAGAGCCACACTCCTGCTGCTGCTCCTTGGCTGCAGGAGGGGTGGAGATGCCTCACACAGGCGGGGAGGTGGTCGGGGTCACTGCAGCAATGGAAGGCAAACAGCAGGACATTATTGCCAAGAAAATATAGTAATGAGGAGGAAAGTAAGTAAATGGACTGTAGTTAATTAAGAATTAATTGCCTAAATTGCAAATCTGTCTTATTTCCACAAACCTTCCTGGGGCCATATCTGTGTCAGATGTACTGACAGCACGAACTGCCAATTCGGCCATTGCTGCAGAGAGGGTTTGGTACATTCTGGCTGATGAATGCCCAGCTATGCCAACGGGTGTATTTGTACAGTGTGAGCACAGGGAGGGCTCCTGTACCGACTGCAGGTTGGCCCTGCATGGTGCTGTCAGCAGGACCCTGAGGGAGAGCCACAGCGATTCGGTCAGCGCCCATTAGCAGCAGAGCTCCTTGGATTACCTCAGCCACTGCAGCGCTTGGTCCCAGCAGTGGCAGAGCGCATCACACAAAGTGCAGCTGTATTGCTATCCTGATGCCAACACCTGCCTGCCTGCCTTTCAAACCAGGCAGGCGCTTTGCTGACAGGCTGTGGCTGTGCCCAGTCAGGCTGCCAGCTGCTCTACTGGCACAGGTGAAGCACAGCAATGTGTATCAAACATAAACATTGTCTGCAGTGCCTGGGTTTCCTCTGCTGGGAGCAGCTCAGTACCTTTGGGCTGCCTGGGTGCCTGCAGTGAGCAGCGCTGGGTGCACGTCACCTCCAGGCCTCAGGTGGCAGATCGGCATGTTAGGATCGCCCCCTCCCTACTCGTTACATCCCTACCCATCCCTGTCCCTGGTGAGATGTGCAAAATCTCCAAAAATACAGACAGGAGAAAGTGTGCAGCAGGAGAGGAGGAGGAGGGCGCCCAGGCTTAGATTTATAGGACCATTAATGTTGCAGAAGACCACTGGCATCACCCACTCCAACCCCAGCCCCTCCCCATATGCCCACTAGCTGTGTTGCTCAGTGCCACATCATCTACACAGTTCTCAAACACCCCCAGGGGCGGTGACTCCACCACCTTCCTGGGCAGCCCATTCCAGTGCCTCACCACTCTTTCTGAGAAGTTTTTCCCTTATATCCAACCTGAACCTCCCCTGGTGCAACTTAAGGCCATTCCCTCTCCTTCTATCACTGCTACCTGGGAGAAGAGGCCAACACCCACCTCACCACGTTCTCCTTTCAGGGAGCTGTACACAGCAGTGAGGTCTCCCGAGCCGCCTCGAGACTGAACGATCCCCCCAGCCACTCCCCATAAGACCTGTGCTACGCACAGTGACATCCCCAGGGCCTCAATGTCTTTCTTGCAGTGAGGGGCCCAAAACTGAGCATTGTGCTTAAGGTGCAGCCTCACCAGTGCTGAGTACAGGGGTGCACTCTGGGGAAGGCAGCCGAGGTGATGGCTACCAGGCCGAGGATGTGGCCCAGGGCAAGGACAGAGCTCTGCTGCTGCTGGTGGCGAGCAGCTGGGGCTCAGGCAGACAGCACTGAACCAAACAGCCCCACACAGCCCCGCGTATCCACAGTCATCAATAGTTTAATCAAAAAATGGGAGCAGTAGTAAGGCAGTAAGCAAGATGATAGCCTATTTCAATAGTTGAAAAGAACTTACAAGCAGCAGCTTTCAAAATAATCAGTCAGTGCAGCATCTATGAACATTCAAAACAAAACAAAATCGTCAGCCCATAGGGAAACAGTAGCACACAATTCACTGACTGCATAAAAGGAGTTGAACCCACAGGAAGGCACAGGCTGGAATCTGAACTGGCTTTGCAGCTCTTTTTCTGATACAACTCAGCCGCAGCTCCCGCAGTTGCCATTGGGAAGCTGTGAGGCACCACAGCAACGTGCTGGGTCCCACAGTGCACAGCCATCAGAGCCAGGGTGGAAGCCAGCGCAGAGAGCACTGGCTGCAGGAGCCAACATCGAAGAATTTTGAGAGCAGCCTGTCATATAATTAGTCCCAAAATGCTGCAGAAATTATACCTATAGCCACTATATATATATATGTTTTTTGTGAGGACTATAAATCAAAACTGGCTGGGGATTCCTAGATGCTTCCATGCAACAGCACAAGGGAGGGACGAAAAAAACTGGGAAGTCAGAGCTGCTTCAGTTTTGGCACAGTGGGTTTTACCACAGTGCACATTGGCCAGAATGTCTCT